TGCCGTGATACGACTCGGAAATTACTTGATTATAACAGCAACGCGACGTCTTCTCGTCTTTGAAATTCCGTCAAGTTGATAAACCACTCGAATTGAGTTGTTGCTACTTGAAAACACTTCACTACCAGAATGTAACTACATATATTATTGACGACCATCAACATACTCCTATTGTACGGCTATTCTGGCTGCTTGCCATCAACTTTCTCGACTCGACTTCGCAGTGCATTTTTTCCTTCTTGAGACCACGAAGTGCGTCGTAAAGCGTTGAAGCTACTTGCCGCTTCCCAGAACTTCTCGACAGTTTCTGCTTCCAAATCAACCGCACAGCGCTGCAACCATTTGCTGCTTGTGCTCAGTGTCATATTGCTTCCAGTAACGGACGCTTACATGAACAGTTGGCCACTGCTAATCATTTCTTTTACTTTAATTTGTGTGCTAAAATCAGGCATCGACGGCAGTTCAGAGTATCCATAAATAAGGGTTGAAAGGAAAGCACTAGTTAATAGTATGCGTATTAATAACCGCCGAGGTGATGATGGTGTAAGTCTTGTCACCGGTGATGGTGATGCAAGTTTATGAAGTATATTGCTCAATTCGCTTATTTGGCTCAAGGAGACTAGTGCGTCTCCAGAGTTTTAGATGATTTTTAGCTGAAATATTACGAAACTATTTAATATCGCAACTGTTCATTTTTCAATGCGAGTCCACATTTTTCACTCAATTTATCAATCGCATTTTGACGCGAGTCTTCAAAGAGGAATAAAAAAACTCCCCTTGCTTCTCGCTATCTACACCTACCACCGACACTGTCACCCCGTTATCTTACCTTCCAATGCATGACTGAGATCTTATCTCAGCCAAAGATTTCTTCACATAATGCCTCCTCACAATGCTGTCAACATTTTTCATTGACCATTTTTACTCGCGCAACGAATACATGGATGTGTTTTAACCCTGCGTGACTTGTCTGAAAATAGCTATTCTCTAATGCCGAGACGTTCGTGAGCTGGTGTCATTTAAAACAATTGTGGCGCGGATGCACTGCACGCTTGCTTACTTCATGCAGTGTTCCCTGCCTACAGCATATATTCTGTACTAGCTATGTAGAGAACCTGTTGTCTGTATCTACTGCGTACGATGAACAGGGAAATACGTGCGTCAGGCTGCACGGACGGCACTGTTGTGTCGGCTCTCACGGCACTGAATAGCTGAGGTGAAGTACAAGTTTATAACCTCTGTGTCTGTGCCATGCAGCCGAGACGAAGCCAAGCTGAGTGGCTTAATATCGCGCCCTGGGCTCTGACTGAATGGCTTAATAGATGCATGGCTGGCGGCTGGCTGGCTGATCGCTTTGAATCTGTAATAACTGATGCCCGCCGCCCGTACGTGCTTGTGTGGCTTACACTCAAACTGATCTGATCGTTAGGATCTCAAACTGATCTGATCGTTAGCCTCATATTTATTGCATTTTTCTATTATTTAACTTAACGATGCAATTATATATCGACATTTCTTCTGTAGGGCTGATTTTCTAGAATTGGTGCACACAATGTAAAACACAATACTAAATCAATTTTGCTAATGATTCCACAATTTTGTCTAGAGATACAAGCGAGCTTTGATAATGTTTTGGCTAAATGTACACGAAATCACGAATTTTTCGATTTTGCCACTTTATTAGAGCCTAATGACTTGCTTGTAATTGTAACGAACTCGTACCCTTACTGCCAATAAGTTATACTGTTGTGTCATCTCTAAATCTTGTTTTGTTCGACCATTATGTCGCTCTTGAGCTGTTGTGCTATCGCTATACTCATCAGACAATCTCTCAGACGGACAATTATTATCATTAGTGACGTCAAATAAATTATTTTGCATTAATTAATGCTCAAGAAGGATAATAATTTTGCAAAGAGTATGTAGCATGAATATATGGACGCCCATTACGACTGTATACGGCTCCGAAATGCGAGATCAAGTTTGTGGTGAGGCATTAGTGAACTTTCATATTTTTCAGGTCGCGATTTTGTGAGAGCCTCCTTCCGGACTAGCATTGTCGTACCAAAAAAAATCTTAAATTAGAAATTTATTAGGGGGTTTTGTGTGGGAAATTCAAGGCAATATGCTAATCACAGCTTAACCGCTTCAAAAACTTCAGCTTTAGTTTCCACATTTTTTTATTATACGACTTCTTTGTTGGAACATCTCTATACGTACTGTTCATGCCTTCTTGTAAATTTGCGTCTACATCGGTAGGTTCGTTCAATGAGAGGTGGAGAGGTGAAGCTACCAATATCATCTCGACTATTGTAATTAAAATTTACCTGCCCGGCGACTGCAGTGGTTTATAAGGCCGTCCAGTAAGTCTGTGGCTCGTGTGTTCTGTTGGCTGCCGACGACGATGATGTTTGCCCTCAAGAATTTTGGTCAGGTTTGTCGCCTATACTCCCGTAATAAGAACTTCATGTGGCCGCTTTGTGACTCGTTCTCCTTAAATTCGGCTGTGTTTGATCAATGTTTATCATGCTTGCGAGGTAGATAATTATCGGAGAAGGAGCTCACGCCGATAGGCTTAAATTGTTACTTTCATTGATTTCAAGTATGCTGTCTCAAAATATGTCTTATTGATAGTCTTATAGATAATCTAATGGATTAATGTTGCTGTTGACTATGAAATGAACGCTTAAGAGATGTCGTAACACCTGAATCAAATCGATGTAAAAACTAGGTAAGCATGATGATATGGTGTAATTAAAACAACTATAAAGTTATTTTTAGTTTAGTCGAACTGATGATGGAGCTGGACTCCGAAACGTTTTCAATATCGATATGGTGAATTTTCTTGGCGTTTTCTTTGCTTTTAAATTCCTTGTGAACTTGCGATATAAGCAGACTAATGATATAAGCACTTATGAACGCTTAAGAGATGTCGTAACACCTGAATCAAATCGATGTAAAAACTAGGTAAGCATGATGATATGGTGTAATTAAAACAACTATAAAGTTGAACCCATTACCCTTAGTGGCATTTTGTCACGTCATCATTTTTGCAATTGAAGTTTGTTTCGAGAGTAAATGCGTGGACTTCTCCAGAAGAAGTTGAAGCATTGACTTTTCTTGGGCCGCTTGGGCATGATCGGTACCATCCGCGAAAATTTTTGCTAGTTGTCGATGACATGGCTATTAATTTTCTCTACCATGTCAGTTTGCTCATGTGTGATTGGGTAAAATTTCATTGGGCAAAAAATTTTATCTCTTGATTTTGCGCGAGTTCTGCCAAATTTGACGGGTTTTGTTTCTTATTGCGACGCACGATTCTTATTTATAATTCTGGTAACGATAGTAAACGCCATACCGATTGCGCTGCAAGAATGTGCGTCGTATTTTCTGGTGCACTATTGTCTTTTTTGTGTGTTTACGAATTCCGGCGCAATCGCTGTATCGATAGCCAAAGATTTGTGCAGTCCTAATTGACTTTCAAACTTCCACCAATCAGAGCTTGCTGTATAGGAGGCGTATCGCGATCATGATATCTTCCCGGGGGGGGAGGTCTTTATTTGTTCCTTGTCCTATAATGAGTGCCTCGAGCTGCCAGGCATACCCTGGTTTCATCATTCATCGCTCGTCATTCCCCACTGCTCTTAGGCCTCTTAAAAAAGGATGAAGATGAACTCAGACAAAGTCATAACTTGAAAAAATGTATTTGTGAACGATTCGTGAGAAAAGTTCTTGGCAACTTATTCTCGTTCAAATTTTCAGTATAATTACATGTTAGTGTATAACCGTAGTTATTGACAGATAAGAGCATTTCGCTGTTCGCCTTCATCGAAAATCGAGCATCTTTTTCAGTCTGACACTATGAACGTAAAGACTAAATACTTTTTTATACGAATATCTATCACTGCATAGAGGCATCACATTCTTCCTGTTCTTTTCACCCCCTATAGACATACATTAATTGTTGGTTATAGGATGATCTAAGCAATGCACTATTATTTCTTAGCTGCGGCTGTTGACTCGAAATTGTTCACTCTGCCAAGATATTCTTTTACCAGTAGGCCGGAACCGCATGCATTCCAGTTAATTCTTTATCATGGACGTCCTGCGAAACAATGATCTAACGAGACATTCAAGACATTTCGATAAGCCGATGAATTTTGGTCATAAATGAAAAGAAAGTGTGAACTTAGAAAAGTGGCGTGTATGTTCTCAAACTCTTAGAGAAGTAACGCGAGAAACGATTTTAAATTAACTCAGTCTGTAATTATATATCAACCAACCTGCACAACTTTTATATTATTATTGCATTTGGTGACATGTCCTGACACTTTAGAGTTGATCATTACTGTAGCGGAAACAATAGTCGGCTACATCAAAGCAACCCATTACTGATAACAATCAAAGCTGTATACATATACCGCGTCTACTGCTCTATACATCTATAAGTATCTTCTTCGACGGCAATCTTTGAATTACATTATTAGTCTGTTTTTAATGTTTCGAGTTCTCAGCAGAAATTTTCTTCAATTGCTCGTATAAAAAAGTTAATTGTTACTGTTTTGATCGGTGTTCATTTTCTCGTGGTTAAAAATGAACCGGCGACCGGTTCTGAGCTTCATTCAAGACAATGTCGCTTGCATTTCGGTTCATGAATTTCCTATTGTCATAGCTTGTCGATCTCTTCGTAAATTGGCTTCCCGATAACTGACATGTCAATCATCAGTGTAGCCTGTCGCGACGAATACATAAACCGTCGTCAATGCCATTCAGCCCTATTTGCCTGGTGACTATTGAGATTGTCGTCCAATGTAGTTGAATTCGTGACGTGAGCATTTGTTTGTAATGTGCATACTATATTTACCATGTTTTCGGTCTCCAACAACCTTTTTTTTCATAGGCATTTACCGTGTTTCATGTCTGCAACAGCATTTTTTACACATATTTATCATGTTTTCTGTGAGCAACTCTATTGATAAGATATGCGTGAATTGGTGCAGGCATGAGCTCGGCGGTCGAGGGCGCTGCCGTGAACGGCGTGGGCAGTAACGGCGGTCCAGCTCTCGACGACGAGGAGGTCCGCCTCATGACGGAGGAGGAGCTCGAGAAGGGCAAGATGCGGCCTCCAGACATCGATCAGGATATGAAGGTGAGGATTTCAATGCGCTCAAGATACCACCATTTATTCTCTCACTTCGAGTTAGAACTATTATAGTTATCTTGTGTTAACAGTTCGTATTTTGGAATGTCTCTTTGGTTACTGCGGGTTGTTATCATTCATTAGCGAAGTGCTTCTAGATCTTATCTCATTGAAAGTTGAAGTCGGAACTTATCTCTGTGGCGATAAGGGATGAGGTGTACGCCTCGGCATGGTGAGGCATTAATAGGAGAGATCAAGGAGACGAGTGTGACTGCAGCGCTATATTTATACTCCTAGTCTCCTTCTCACAGGCGGCAGAAACCCGTCTCTCTCACTCTGGCCCTCTTGCTTCACTAAAGTTTTATTTTCCCTATTTCATATATCTAAAATTTTTAATTTTTGTTGCCTTTCATTAGCATTTACTGAAATCTATCTATCTACTGAACATGCCTTGATCTTTTATTTTATCTTACATGCCTTGATCTTCGGGGTCACACCATCTTTGAAACTTATAGTTCATTTTTTTGCCAATTTTATCTTACATGCCTTGATCTTTTATTTCGTTACACCAAAAGACGTCTGGTTATTGGCGAAACGATCCGTAAATTTTATCAACCTCCAGATATGAAGCCCATTTGCGATTCATATAGGCATACGGTATCAAATTTTTACGCACGATCATTTACACACTGTCATCTTCGTGTATTCTTTTGTAGCCTTTTAGGTATGTGGAACAAACGCTATTGACGCAATAATTGACGTAATGAACAGTACTTGTCACTGAACATATGAACTCGTTTGCCAGTGGGTGGCGATAGTCTATAGCAAACTCGAGTGCAATCCTGGCAAATCCTGTTCACCATTGAAGTGATTTAACTTCGTCTGTCTCGCTGCTGAAAACTAATTATTGGTGAAAGCCCTTATGTTGAAGCTTCATTCTATTCAAGTGTGATGGATTGATTGAAATAAGGGCGCCTTGTTGGCTCAGTGTGCATTCCTTGACTTATATATATTTCTTCGTTCACTTTGTGCTGAATCTTTGAGCTGATGCAGGATAAGATCTACAAAGTATTAGTTTCATTTTGGTATCAATCACTGTCATAAATTAATGTAAATTGCAGGTATGATAAAAGTTCAACATCGAGTACTTAATCAAGTTAATTACTCATACCAGAACACATTCTCATTTTTAGCTAGCGGAAATGTCTTATGAAGTTACTGCCTTAGGCATTTTCAGGCCCTTATAGTATGATCTGTGTTATAAGGAATAAACTATAATGAATTTGAACGTTACTCGTAATTCATGCCTAAAAATTGTTCGTATAAATTTGAGATTTTTACGTGTATTGCAGGAGATGGAGCGGCGCAAACGTGTAGAGGCCATCATGAACTCGGTGGCGTTCAGGGAAGAGCTTGAGAAGATCGTCGAGTCGCAGCTGTCAGAGGGATACTCGGGAGTACAGGCGCTGCAGAACATCTCTGAGCTCATCGGCATACCAGGCAGCAGAGGCGGCATGTTCAGACGTGAGCAAGATTTATTCCTTTACGTTCATGTGTCGAAAACGGTCATAAACGTTGGTTTAATAAGTTTTTACGCTATACTGCTCAATTGAGCCGTGTTTTCTTTAATTTATTTTCATAGTTTTGAAAATATTCCATGCTATCTTTATACCGTGTTGCAGATACGCAGAGTCTGTGCCCCATCAACGATTTACGAGGCTTGGAAGGCCTGAATTTTGCCAAGGGAGAGAAACTGTTGAGGTGCAAGCTAGCGGCTCTCTACAGACTCATTGACATGTACGGCTGGTCGCAAAACATCTACAACCACTGCTCGGTGAGGCTACTCAACATGCAGCTCTATTTGTCATGTTGCAATGTAGGACGTTTGTTGGTACCCCCTTACTTCCTGACGCAACCTCCATCATGCAGCATGTTTTAAATAACAAATCAAACGAGCTTGAAGCTCTGCTGTAATATGTAATAGGAAGGATTTCGTAGCTGAATTAACTTGTTATTTATGCATTCATTATCTCATGATTATGATCCGGAACAATGAATTCTTACTTAGCCTTGTTCTCTGCATAAGAGATCAAATGCCACTCGTTACGTATGACGTATGAGGGTTAATTTTTTGACTGGCAACGCATGTAAGTTCAAATGAAGATCTTTCGTTGCTGTGCAGGCTCGAGTGAGTCAAGACCAGGAACACTTCTTGCTGAACCCCTTCGGTCTGCTGTACAGCGAGGTCACTGCTTCTACCTTGGTCAAAGTAGATATGCAAGTGAGTCACGTTGCTTTAACTCCGGAATTTTGTACGCGGTCCTTGTTCAGGTACAGTAAATAATGTTTTCATCAGCTTCTCACGCAAGTGTGAATGATTTTTTTCAGGAATTCCTTATCTTGGATCCAACGATCACATTTCAATTAACATTAACTTTGTCTTAGCTTCACCCATGTGATTTAGTTCTCCCGTTATTAGTAGTGAAACATGAACCGTTTTCGTTTCCCATTTGACATTGTACGGTACTTCATTATTCAGAAACTAGTTGTAATATTTTGCTGGTGATTCTTTGCCTAAGAACATTGCACATTTTTTTCAAAGTCTAGGATTGCAGGATCCATTATGTATAGAATTTGTATCGTTCCTTCGATTGTGCCTCAATTCATCATTCTCTGGTTACAGGGGCAAGTAGTTGACCCTGGCTCTACTAACTTTGGTGTGAACGTCGCGGGTTTCATGCTTCACTCTGCACTGCACGCATCACGTCCTGACCTACGCTGCATCTTGCACATACACACGCCCTCCGTCGTTGCCGTGTCCGCCATGAAGCAAGGGCTGCTGCCCCTGTCTCAAGAGTCTCTCCTCTTCGGTGATGTCTCCTACCACACCTATCAAGGCATCTTCGTCAACCCTGAAGAAAAGGAACAGCTTGTGAGAGACATGGGGCCCATCAACAAGGTCAGTGTTACTTCTCGAAATCTGAATAGGCGCTAAGTCGAAGAGTATCTTTGATGTCTAGTATACCAATGCGTTAGTGCTTGCTCAAAAATTTGAGGCTTCGAAAACACAATCCTATCAATGTGCATTTCTTACAGTTTTTATATGAACGATATTAATAAGTTAGGATATTAATTAACAATAAAATGCCAATGTTCGTCAAACGTCGATGACAGGTAATGATGCTTCGTAACCACGGTGCCGTGTGCTGCGGTGAATCCATCGAGGAGGCCTGGTACAACCTCTACCATCTCGTGCTTGCATGTGAAAATCAGGTATATACCTTCACTGATTTTGCACTCCTAATTATTTGTATCTTTCTGTAATACTATCAATACATTCTTTTCAGTACTAGTTTTGATACACACCGAAGTGTGTTTTTTTTTACATGATCATGAAATATTGTGAGATCTAAATGCCAACTAAATAAATTGAACCTTTATTCCATTAGGTGCTAAATGATATTTTGTTATTTTGAGACTTTATTAACTGCTAACTAAATTACCCCATTCCAATTAGGTGCTCAATGATATTCTGTGTGTTCAGATGAAGCTAGTTCCTGTTGGCCTGGACAATCTGATCCTTGTGAGCGACGACGTGAGACAGCTCGCTTACGACACCGCCAGAGTGGGCTTTGGTGGCGTCGACAGCAAAAGTGTGCGTATTCCCACGAGATGAAGTTACAACAAAAAATTGTGTACTGAACTTCGCCCCAAAAAATGTGAACGTGTAGTAGGGAAAAAGTACTTTTTGGGAGAGTAGCTTTCAAAAACATACTTATTAATAAATGACTGCTGGATTCTTTCATATTTGCTTAGTGGCCGACGTTGCGTGTTTTCTGAGTTTTAGCACTTCTCTGTATTTCTTCCCAGTACGAATTGTTTACATTTTTCGAATTTTCGAGATTGCTGTTTGTATCCGTGAACATTAAGCTTTCGAATCACTGTTAGAACTTTATAGGTCACTGCAAATCGATCTAATTAAGTAATTACAAGTCATCTTAGTGTTTTTTTTTCTTTTATTAACCTCATTTTTCCATTTTTGGATGCACAGGAGGGAGGCGCCGCTGGTCAAGGCCCGAAAACTCGCAAATTCAAGACTGGAGAGATGGAATTTGAGGCGCTCATGCGTTCTCTTGACAACGCAGTATGTATCTTCTGCTAAAGTTTTTCTTTTTGCTTGGCAATTTGTTTTAACTTCTGTGTTAAACTTAAGTGATAACTAGCTAGTTAAACTTTAGTGATAACTAGCTACCGGTTGTTAATTTATATTGCCAATTACGCTGATGACAACAGTTAATGCATTCGTACACTAAGGAAAAAGTATTTTTTTTATGAGATGGTAAAAATTGCTGAATTGTATTGGTTGTGTCACTAATATGATTTCGGTTGCCTACTAATTTCATTTGGCTGTCGTTTGGAACGGTTTCATTTACTTATGAGACATATGTAAAACAAATGAAAAATCGCCAAGGTTTGTTTGTGGTCTGACCACAATACAGAGAAGAGTTCATTCACAGGGCATGCGTACGGGTTACATCTACCGCAACCCTCTTGTGAAGCAATCGAGCTGCAGCGTACAGAGCGACGTCGCCTTGCCACCCACAGCCTCCAACTACGGCCAGCTCTACGATGAGGACGGTCTCAGGAGGTACCTTTCATGTCATCAATGTCTTGTTCCTGCTACTGTCCACCTATCAAGTTGATTCTTCAACTCGATTCCTGTTAATGATTTAGGGTTTTTTAATGAGTATAAATAAACAGCTAAGAATGTATAGTGTTTTGTTCATGCTAATTTGGCTACTGGAGGTAAACTGAAATAGAAGTATTATAGGAGTTGGAACAGAAATTAAATGCTGTTTTATTCAACTATGTATGGCGTTACATGGTTGAACAAAGACATCAAGCGAGCGAAATCCTCCTACAAACTTTCACAACCATTTTCATTAAAAAGTTGCTATAATAAATAATCCGTTTACCACAGCCCACTGCGCCGCCTGCTGGACGGCAAGCGCGTCAACGACAAGTCTCGCTGGCTCAACTCCCCCAACGTCTACCAGAAGGTCGAGATCCTCGAGACCGGCTCGTCTGATCCTAAGAAGATCACCAAGGTAGAAGTCATCACCATCGAGAATCTTAACAAGAACGATAAATAATTCATTGCCTTGATTCTGTCATGAGTATTACAATATTCCATTGGTTGCCGAGTGTAAATGCTGGAACATGTTTCAAAACTGCAACAACCGCCTGACAATTCACCGTCGTACAATTCGAATAATTTCTTTATCGATTCTGTTCGTGATCACGTTCATTGGGGCATGATCTGGAATAATTATTAGCAAGTTTTCAGCATTGCTTTCTAAGATAATTTTATTTTAAGTTAGTTTTTTTAAAAAACCTTAGACTGGCAGCTAATGCCTGCTAATTGAACTGATATTACCTAGAACTTAAGTGTGGTGAGGTTTGCTCTGCGTTTGATATTTTAAAATGATGAGTATAATTCAGTTTAGTGATGCAATGGCCCTTGTAATGAAAACGCCACTACTCTTCTAGACGTCTTGAAACAATGCATAAATTTCAATTATGATTGAAGCAGTTCAAATCTCTTTTGTGTTCGTGGATCTTTATCTGAAAATGAATATACATGATGTGCAATCGTAAATCTTATGATGTCCCATCCAAAGTGCAATTAGAAATCATGCACTAAGTTGCCAAAATTTGGCATTGAATTGTAGAATGATTCATTTTCTTACCTTTTCAAGGTATCTTGTTGGTTGAATTTTATTTCTATTAAGATGCTCATCATGCTAATGAAGTTCTCGTTCCTCGAAGTACGTTTTGTTGATAATTTTAGCTTTGGTGTACAGGAATTTGCTCTGCTTGCGTGTGAACAGTATTGTGCAGTTTGCAATCCGCATATTTATCTCTTTCTCTCGAAGAGAAAGTATTTGCTTCTCAATAGCTCAATTGCCTATTAGGTCTTAGGCAATTGAGGTCAAAAAAATTAGGTCAAAATTACGCACAATTTTCCTATAAGCCACGACTTGAGAATGCCGTTCATCAACGTAGAGGTGCTTAAATTGACCTATTATTTTTTCATGTAATATCCAAGAAGCTAGTCAAAATGTGTACGCAAATTGTAGCAGTCAATTTTCTGAAATGATATAATTGTGAAATGTCATAGTTTGTTATAATGGACTGATATTGGTTCCCGTCAGCTACTTGATCTACAGTAAGTTCGCCATGAGAACTTGACACTCTGTGATGTTCGTAAAAAAATAGCCTTCATTCACTGCAATATATAAAGTTTGACATGATATTCTTCGGCTCAGTCATCGCTACTTTGTGTGTCATTCCACTAAATGTAGACACGTGGCTGCTGTGGTCGTCTAATTACTGCGTCGGTTATGTTTGACATTGGTTCAAGAAAAATTATGTAGCCAATGTTCTCCAAATTTTTCTTAATTATAAATCGTCTATTTTGATATTGAATCAAATACTATAATGTAATTTTAGTTCAATTATTTCTCTGATGTTTTGAATCTCATTTGATATTGTAATTTAAGCCTAATTTTCATATCTGCTAAAAATCAAGTGATTGTTCCACAAGACTATTCCTTTGATAGATATTTTTTTAATTTCACGTCTAAAATTTTTCTTCGTATTTGTTGCCTAGGCTTTGCAGGAGTAATTTGCTGCAACATCCCTTACTATTTTGTCAACGTTTAGCATAAGACTCGTGTAAGGTGTTCAATATACTCACTGTTCTGCCTCTAATAAAGTCGCCTGAGCGTCTCCCGTGGTATTATTATGCACACGCTACCTAATGCTCGCAACATTTCGTACTGCATTAGTCTCGAGAACATCAACATGCGCTACTTTGCTTATTGATATTCAAGGTAACGTCGCAATGTCAGCTTGGCAATATGATATTCGGAAATATTGCCCATCTGAAACTTTAACATTGCATCATTATAAGTTATTTAACTATGTGATGTTCTCGAGCGCTCTGCAAGTTCTCAGTTGGTGGTTCAAGAGGCCAAAGCTCCTCCGTCTCTCTAATGCATCAAATGCTGGCACTCCTGCAGCCCTCGTCTTGGTGCGCCATAAGCACTGCAGCTTTGTTAGGCTCATGTCTTGCTGCTCTGGCTGCTCACCCTGACACTGTGACGTCTAGTAATTATTTTCCTTAGTCCATTGATTATGAGGTTCTGATTGTCTGACCTCGGAGTTTTGCTTTAATCCATTAATCCTGAGATAAGATGTTAGTTTTTAAATGCAAGTACAGGGAGAGATGGACCAGCTTGAGCTTTGCAACCACCTGAGTGAGCATTGGTAGCGTGAGCCTAACAATACCGCAGGGCTGACGGATAATTCGACATTGATGCACAATACGTCTTAAAAAAAGGAAGGGCCATGATATTTCGATCGCTTTAGTTCTTCTAGGATTTAAAAGTACGTATTGCCTTGATGACCGCCGAACGAAAACAAGCGACACGGAGTAAAGGTTAGCAGATATCTTTTAACTGAAAGTCGTTTTTTGATAACTTCTTGGTGTTAATAGCAGAATTTTAGTCTGAAATACTAAATTAATGCCATGTTTGGAGAGGAGGATACAGCTCGGGCTCTGCTTTAGGTGAAACACTATTCTCGTAAGTACGGCGAACTTGGTTATTAGTGCGCGTTACATGGTCTCGTGTTCTGTCACACAATTTCCCCATCAGTACTAACATAGGTGACCTTTTTTTAAATTTATTTTTTCAACCCAACATCATTCGATTTCAATGAATGTGGCCACCTAATGACGGTCCTGCAATGTTACTGACTCTGTGTTATTTATGAAAAACACAAAAATTTAGGCTGTCTCACGGAACGATTGAGTATAAAAAATTCACCCGACCGGATCAACAAATCGTTCGTTTAATTTCCGTTAGGTTTGAACTCCACTTCGGTTACTTACGCCGGACTTATCGTGAGGGACCAGGTATGTTTTTTTTTTTATAGTTACGCTTGACAGGCAAACTTCTGATTAATTATGTTCAAAGTGAGCGGCTGAAATGGAGAAGAATTAACTTGCAGAATACATCTTGATATTTGGTTCACACGTGGAAGACCGTAATCTTTGTTTAACATATTATTTTTTAGGTTTTGTAATTTCGGTGGCTGACTAAAAAAAACTAAATTTAGTCTCATTTGATTTTTTTAATTGCTGCCTTCCCCAATGCCACAAACCAAATGATCCTCCATGTATGATATTTTAAATGCACCAAGAACTCGTCTAAGTTGTTGTCAATGTTGACGTGATTCGTACGATCAGCCACCTTACAGTTTGTTGGGTCTATATAGCCAATTTTTTATTCCTTGATTATTTGTCTTCATAAATGACACATTCTCAGCGATGTTTCGTTTAACTTACAGTGGGTTGCCGATGGCTCTCCGACTCACTCGAATGCTGTCAAGCTCGACGCCAGCTTGCAGTTTGTTCCTAAGGACACCGACCCCAAGGAGTTCAAAAAAATACAGAAAGCGGTATGTAACGTGTTTTTCATGTTTCTGTATCCACCTTCTCACTAGTCAGTCAGTTTAGTTCGAAGTCTGAATGTCACTGGAATTTGTTGTTATAAAATTCTGTTTCAAGAAGTTCAAGTAATGGTTAAGTACCTTCGATGGTTAAATTCAAATTTAACTCCTTCGATGGTTATTGGTTAAGTACCAAATTCATCGATGGTCAAGTACCTTCGATGGTTAATGAACAGTAATGACGCTTGTATTAATAATGCTTTACATAAATTTTTTCCTGAATGAACGTTTCGTTCTAGATCTTTAATTATCAAGCGATCGCATTATTTCGTTGAGGAAGTTCAGAATTCAAGTATAATAATTAATTTCTTCAATTTTTCAGTCATTCTGTAGAGCATTTCGATCTAGTATGTGCACGACTTCTAGAGAAGAAATGTTTTCATTATTTTACGTCAGATCCTGCAGCCTTTCCAAACGAATGTTCATTGGTCGATAAATTTCAATGCACTTCTTAACACTTGTTGTTCAGATCAAAGAGAACCGCCGCATCGGTAACTTGAGTGCGGGCCCGACAAGTCACCTGCTGGAAGGCGTGACATGGGATGAGGTGCGTCGTATGCAAGACGCAACCATCAGCAACGCTGCTGACCACACGGTGCTCGTGGGCGCCGCTAGCAAAGGCATCATCCAGAGGGACTTCCAACACAACGCCGTCGTCTACAAAACTCCTTATGCTAAGAATCCCTTCGATGCAATTTCTGATCAAGAGCTTGACGACTACAAACTCCTCGTCGAAAGGAAGCAGCGTGGCGAGCCTAGTGAGTCGTGTCAGCTTTGTTGTAAATGTTCTCAACACTTCTACAAGTACTCTACGTTTATTGTTTGGTATTTTCTGGTAGAATTTCATAATTCCAGAAGTTTGATTTTTCTTCCTTCATTATTTGTTCTTCAGGGAACAATTTGAAGAATAAATTTTAAAATAATGATCATATTTCTTTTCCAAGTTCAGATTTACAAACCGAGTCGCATCACTTTACTTTTCAATATTTTTTAACCAAATTCGTGTCTAATCCTTGTCAATATTGCCTTCAGTCGAGGAGATTGAAGTGGAGAAACTTCACATCAGTCCTGAGCGAGCAGAGCGCGGTATCGTCGGGGATATGGGCGACGGTTTCGATGCTACCAGTCCGCTGAGTCCGCTCTCCGACACTGACGGTACGATTACTGTATACTCGTGCTCGTTTTTATTAATATCTTGAAAACTTTTGCATGTTAATTCAGACATCAAAGCCGTTCTTACCTACTTTTTCCAAGTCATCTTCTCCAGAAAGGCATTGTTGATGTAGTTAGAGTCTATATCACTTCCCAAGGTTTTTTTAGTTCTGTTTTCTGGTTATTTTGGTTCGATTTCGTTGAAAATCGTCGTTATCGTGACATTTGAAGTATTCTAGTGTTATCTGGTCAATCAACATCGGAACTTCAGTTCGCTACTAAATTACTGGTTTGACGAAGCTAGTGTGGTTGAAGACGGCAACGACGTATCGTGCACTTCGTGATGCTTCGTCTGTGAAGACTTGTGCCAACTTTTTTCGCCGCATTGCTTGGCATTTTTGCACCAGCGCGAATTATCTTTTTTTTTCTTAGTTTACCTCACTTTGAGACATGGTAGTTCATCATGTCACGACCATCTATCTATTCATTTTCTCATCAGATTCTAAATTTACAGATCTACCTTTCATAATTACATTGGTTATTTTTTACACCTGCATCTCGCATCATAAGGTGGCTTAATGTTTTTGTCCTTGACGCTATCCATACATCATTTGATCTAAATTCAACTTTTATTATATTTTACTCCTCTGATGTTTATACTGCCGATATTCAGTGTCTAGTGTTGACAAAAAGTTATTCATTTTGTTTGGATTTTGCTAGTTTTGCATTGTTCGCAAGTTCTCGTCTGCAAATCCTCCTGCAGTTAATCTTTTTGTGCCTGAAAACTATTTTCCTTAATAGCTTGTGAAATGTAGCTTATTTAAACGTGAATGTTTTCATTTATACGCGCGTATTGTCTGTCTGGCATCTCTAGTTCTCACCAGCACGAGCCTTCACTTTTCTCACGCTGCATGATATTTCATGCTTGTGTCAGTTGAAAACATTCATTTTTAGGCACTAATTTTGGAAAATGAACCAGCATCTGCAAGTAGTATTGATTTCAATGTTTTCGTATGCTAACTGTTGGAATTATGCACAATCTTTGCTAAGCTGATGGTTAATGTATTCTTTTGAATTCTAGAGTCTGTTTCTTTTTTAAGATCATTTAAAAGTGCATTACCCGAGGACATTAGACTTCTGTTCCTAATATTCTAAAATAAGTACCTACTATAGTATTTTAAATAAGTTACTTTTAATGAAGCGATATTGCCAACGGTATGTTCATACAAGCACCGGCGTCATACTAATTCAAAGGAGTTACATTACACGTACCTTGAAGTGTAAAATGATGTTAGTTGTGATGTATTCAGGCCAACGAATTTCATCGACACGAAGGACGGATGGAACGCAGCTCGTGGTTCACACTCAAGTAGCTCCGCGTGCAGGCATAGCACATCCAGTGTGTATCAACGATGGTCAGTGGCCGTGTGACCCTAACAGCTTCTCTCGATTATTTCTCTTGCCTACTCCGTGTCCCAAGGGTGTTCGTTTATTGCTGTAGCTGCTTTTTTTAACGTATTGTGGTTTCAAACTGCCTCATTTGAATAAAAAAATTCTAGCTTAACTATTAAAACATTTCTCGTTGCTTGTATGTTATCTTTATCAGGGCTGCCTGTCAACTATTTTCTACGAATTTTTAATCGTATTCTGGTTCGAATAAGCATAATTTTGGTACGCTAGGAAGCATTTTGTTATTAACAAGTAGCGTCTTATATTGGTGTTTTACTGCACCGGCGATATCATTTTCCGTGTCGTTTCATCTACAGTAAAGAATTTAATAGGAACATTTCAGTAATGAAGCAAGAACGTTTGTGTGTATTTTATTAACTATTTATAACAATGATGTGTGTGGGAATTTGAAGCACAATGAAAAGAATTAGGGGGCTGGTCCACTAACACTCAACTCTCTCGAGTGTTAGTAAATCCATTTTCATTTGAATATTGCAGCCAAGTTTCAACGTAACGTGATTGTAAGCGTTCGGTGACGATTTATTACACATATTCTCAGTAGTTATTCTTAAGAAATAGCTTTGTGGTTTTGCAGCTACTCGAAGTGGGTTATAAACGCAATTGAGTCAGAAGTTGCAAGATTTCAAGCTTCAGACTTGGTTTCGTGTTAATTAATTTGTGCTTGTATTGGTTGCGTGCTCCTGAACTCATGTGTTTTTCAAAATATGAATATGGTATTGTGTCTGTAACTATAATAAGAGAAATGATATATATGCCGTGTCGTGAGTCAATCCAATGACGTCAAAAATCATGATAGAGGAAAACATTTGTATCGCTCATGTCATGGACAAATTCACGTCCCCGTCTGGAAATAATTATGCTCTTTTACTGGACTTTTCTCTCGCTCTAGACGGGGTAAGTGTGCAAAGTCTCACGTTAAGTACTCGGAGTGTGGGCGGTCCGAAGCCTCCCGTGCCTCCTAAGCCTAAGACACTACCGCCTCCGTCGTCGTCTGTCCCCGCCCTCAACGCACAGCAAACAAGGGATCAACCCCAGCGGGTGCACGCTAATGTCAAGGTTTTACCGCCACGCCCCTGCGTCAGTTGCCCTCCGGTTGAGACGGGCATCGTGGCTACAGCTTGCTCCGCTAGCCGCGCCGGCGGTGAGAGCCGAGTGTGCTCGAGTGATCGTCAACTAAAATCGCTCTGCTTTCCTTATGAACCAATCCGTGTTCTACACACCTCATCCCTCGTTCAATGAAGTCGTCGTATTTTGAGCTTCTATGTACGCTAACAATTGCTGCTGTTGAGTGCCAAACCTGCTTAGTGATACCGTTTTGTATTTGAAACCTATTGGGATGGATTGGAAATTTTTATTCCATCTAATGTGTTGATGTTGGTTTAGTTTCCATGTTGATGTTAGTGAATAATGTGTGCACACAGAAAATTTTATATTTGACATTGAAAACCGCATACAATTTCTATATAAATAAGCTCCTATGATTACCGTTCATTGGCTGATTTTGGTGCTCTGCTTCGTTTGCATCACTATGCCTATTAATTCTTCTTGAAGATTATCAATGTGTCAGTAATATCGCCGCATATCGCTGTGGTGTTTGGATCAAGGCATAGAAACGCTGTGCCCTCGCAGTGACCATCACCAAAATCGTTAATGATTATCGTTGAATTTTCAAATGACCTGATACGACGTGTTTTCCCATTTAAATTTGAAGATGTTTGCCTTTGTGATGCTCGCAACGAGACTTGATTAACTTCCTCGCAGTTTGACTACTCGTGTGTAAACTAAATAATAGAATAAGTTTTCACAACTTACTGTAGAGTATGTGTATGTTTTATTACGAGTTCTTTTCATGAGTAACTTCAATTCGCTGCAATTGTCGCTTGGGCTATAATTTTTAACTTAGTTCTGCGACGCACTAAAATTTTACATCTTTGTGGCTAGTTTGGTAATGCAGTTTCATCAGAGGAGAAAAATAATCTTCGACTAATTTTTCATTTTCTAATTCAGTGTGATTTAAATTCTCAATTTGTTCAACTATCAGCGGAACCGGGACAGGTTGTCACCTAATTTCAGAAGCCTACTAATTTGAATCAATTTGTTGACTCAATTCTAACAACTTACCTGGCGGGCAAACGGGAACATTTGGATGGATATTTTACTAGCAACTTACTCCTGCAGACAACTCGCCCACTTCCCCAATCTCACCTCGAGGTGTGGGACGCGCTACGTTCCCCAGAAGTCCTGCACGTTCCACTCCAGTCTCTTCCCCGACTGGGCGATCCAACTCCCTCTCAAGAGGGCTCCAGAAAATGCTTAAAAGCAATCGCAACAGTAAGCCCTCTGTTGCAATCCGTCATGAATCGTTATCTTCGCTCGTTTTCAGTAAAATGCGCGTACATCTTCTGCCCGGCTCTAACAACCCGGCTCTAAACAACAACAACCCGGCTCTAAATTGGTCGCATCTACTACAAAAAAATTCACAACATTTTGGTGGGCCCGGTTTACACGCTGTACACATACGCACAGTATATTTGCATTATCTATTTATCCTTCACCGGTTTTAACTTCCTCCCATTTATGTTAACTCGGGGATATCTTCACACTCTCGTAATCGGTACTAAAATGTTATTTATCTGGTATCGATGAACCATTTAAAGTTACCCTCGGCTGCAATTAATCTGTGTGCGGTTGTCGACTTGATGCGCAAGCGCACAAGCAGTTTGAGAGTTGGTGCCCATATTTAACACATTCCCTCATTCCAGCTTAATCCTAAAACAGATCTTAACATGTTTCTCTTAACAGTGAAGCTAACTCGTGAAGCGACTAGAATAAGTTCATTTTTAATTTATGACGAAATTGTCACGGGAAGAGTGGTTTGATGTCACTAAACTTTGTATACATATATTTCCCTAGTTATACTACCGCTTTTCTAATAATATTTCCTTCAACTTCTTGTATATGCGTCACTAAGTCATTTGTGTTATTTAATTCTAAGCACAGAGCTTATAGATATTCGTTCTTTGGACTTACGTTTTGAATACATCCATTCGGCGTCGCTTTAATAATAAAAGGAAACGTGCAAAAATTAACGAGCTGATCGCCGTTGAAAAATAGAATAGCTTATCGGTAGGGAATAGTTATATGCTCTTGTCAATTATTATTTTCAAGTTGACACTTTTACCATTATAAGTTCAAAGAATTCCATGCTATACCTTTAAAAGTGTCCCTGAATTGGGACTTCCGTATTCGGCAAGAGAAAGAGCGAACAGCATGCATTGCAGTTTCTATAGTTTAATGTACTTTTATTTTGTTACTCTTTACCCAGGAATGGTATTCATGTCTTATGTATATTCACTCTCCTGTAGCGGGTCTTTTATATAAGCGTAAGCCCAGCAAGTGTTTGATACCAAGCAACAGTCTACCGCACATCTCATTTCTTTTAATTTATCATGTTACATAAAGCGGTTACATAAAGCTTACTGTTAAAGTATTACGTCCTGTTTTATTATTGCACAGAAAAGTTCTTCAGCATAGTAAATCAATCAAACGTGTCATGTTTCAAGTACTATAGTTGATTCGTGAAATGCACAACCCAGTTATATTTTACTCATTTGATTCGGAAGAAGAAAAGTATTCTGACAAAATTACGCGTTCTTTCGCTTGATTTTTTACTGTTAAACATTTATATGTTCCCTAACTGAAATATGTCGTTAACAACTGGCAAATAGTTGCCTTTGGTGACTCGCCTAGACACCACTTTACTCTGACGACATATATTGGTTTTACCTGCGAAATTGAACCAGTTCACATGTGATCGCTGCAAATGTCATTCAAATTTAATGATGCACTATATGAACTTAGTGGTTAAAAAATTACCCTTTGATTGGTGCTGCTTTTGTACACGCGTACGTTATGTGTATGTTATGGACGCTCATTTCGTGCTGTTTAGTTATTTGCATCTGCTTTTAGTTAAATGGGCTTTGTACTGCAACAACTACTTGAAAATTCACAATTTTTCACTGTTTGCATGTGGTGCACTATCTCATACTCCTTGCCAATTTTTTCTTTGTTCGTCCTTAGTCCCCCCTAACATATACGACCATTTTCATGTTGTAGCTGCTGGTTAACAAACACGCATGTGTTATTTTCGGCTTTTCAGTACCTAACGCTTCTGTAAATGGCACTATTGCTCCTACTGACGGCTCTGTGGCTAACTACAACGTAGCTGACGAAGCTGTCCCGATCCTTAGGAAGGATCGTATGCGTTATGACGCTCATGGTACCGCCAGCGATCATGAAATAATCACTAAAAATGATACTGCACGCATGCGACCTGCGTCACTTGAGCTTACAGGTTCGTTTTCATGTCTGTCGTCCCACTTATTTTTTTAATTCAATAACTATTGTCGCGAATTTTTTCCATAAAATAGGATCATTTTTTGTACAACATGTATTTGCTCTTTATTATATCAACGACTAGTTGCGAGTTGTTAATCACTGTCAGACAATTGTTGTTAATTCGAATTTACAGAAAAAGTTTATAGTTGTTTGACAATGGGAATAAAAATAATTGCTAAATTGTAGATTGGAAGTCTTGCTAGTACACTTGCCCTAAGAGATTTTTTTCCCCCTTATTATATACTTTTGAGAAACTGGTTTGCAGAGCATTGGAACATTTCACATAATTCACTGCCTCGGATTTTTTCGCTGGCTTGGCATGAAACGTGCATTTTTTGTATATTTTAAATATTAATATTTGCAACTCCTTCTACTTCACATTTCTAATTTTTTCGACTAATTTACTTCTGACCTGCTGTGGTATCGATGGATTCTGCATGATCTGCGTTAACTGATGTGGCCTGTTTGTATCCACCACTTCACCCTGAACTGAACTGGCTCAAATTATCACCTAAACCCTGCATGGTCCCTGTTTAAACTATGATTTATTGGTAAACTGTGCTTCCTGGCACTGACGCTACAGAAGGTGCAGCAAGCGCTGCCCTTGTAAAGTCTGCTAGGAAGCAGAACTTCCGTCGCTCGTGGACGATGCCACGCAAGACGAACCGTAAGTTAGTTGTGTAGACACGAAGTTATTGCTCGAAGTACCGGCGTGTGAAGTGCAAAGCTAATTTAGATTATTTTCAAGCATTTAGAGCAACTACCGTCCTAGTTCAACACTAGTATTTTACTATCCGCAAACTTTATAATTGAAGAAAGTAACTAAGAAAAGGGTCATGCATTTTTTTGTCAAGTGATTAAGATTGTTTCTGTCTACTCTAGAAATTCAAAGGCGATAATGACAGCTAAGCAATAAATATTATTCTCGAGGTTAGGGGAATTTTTCTGAATGATTAACCAATTATTTGTATTGCTCAATAGCAAAAATTTTGCTGCTTATTATAACTTTAGATCTTGTTATTAATTGTGTTCATTGGAATTGAGCAAAATTTTGAAATCGCTAAAGTGCATTTCAAATGTATTGATCACAACAATTCAATTAATTTCTACTAGAGATGCGATTTGATCTTCTGTCTTCTAGAGTCGATTGGAATTTTTTTTTTATTAATCCGCTTATTGCTGGGAATACGACTGAAGGATGTTAATGATCGTTATCCTTTGTTTGCAGGAGAAACTGCTGCTAATGGAGAAGACACTGAAGCTCACCACAGTGCGCTGTCGCAGAGCAGTAAAGAGGTAATACAGGAATACGGTACCATCATTATGTTAGTTGAACTAGTTATTGCTTATAATCAGTTGCGGTAGGACTAACTTTGCCTAACATGATTATGTATAGATTGATTGTTTAGGAGAAGTAGAAGTATGTATTCAAGTCACTGCGTTTTTGATGTTCGTTGATATGGGTACCCATTTTTTGTGTATAGTTGCACTGTTCTCAGAATAGTATATATAATATAAAGAATAGTATAATAGTATAGTATAGTTGCACGTGCGTAGATAGTTACACAGCTGAAAAAATTGCACTACTTGATCATTGTACTAAAATAATGATGTTCAAGATAATAGAGTGATGCTGAGACTATGAACTATGGAGAAAAATTATTTATTTTTTGTGAAACTGCCTGAAAAACATGTTTCCTATTTGATTTGATCTCGCGTTGGTTGCATCGCGAGAGGCTGCAAGAAGACCTACCTATCTGCAATAAATAACGGAATGCCAGTGACTATAATGCGATTCAACGGGATTAAATTTGAAGTACTGAGATACGCATAGGTTCGGAAGATGGGGCACCGCTACCTATCACCAAACGGCACAGTAATTGAAGCATCTCTTTCGTTACTCGGTAATGTCGATGAGAACTGAGATCACGTCATGTAGAAACATTGCAGCAATAGCTGCAAGAGACATGCCACAGATAACGTGGATTTCTCAGACTTTTCGAACAAGAGAATCGATAACAACGATTACACTCTTCAAAGCCTCTGTTCTCTCTATCCTCGATGCTGTTGCCAGTTATGGTTCCGCTCGCGGTGGATTCAGCGCACAAGTTGGAAGCATTCCGGTGAAATTTCACGTCTAGGATCAGTAGGATGATCTGGACTAGTGACACAAGCTGCAGCACGTTGGTCCGAACTCACTGGATATAGGAGACTGGAGAGGTATGCCATTCTGTAGACATGGAAAAGGATAACAGGTCTATCTTGTAACTTAGTGAACGAGACCTCCATGATTACACATCGAAACTCAATTTCCGCAGGAAAAATTCCTTTTCGTGCCGGGACCGAGACTGTTTAAGGCTTTGCCTGTGAAGCTTGAAGGGTAGGGAGAAGTTTACCCGGTAGACCTTTATTACACCGCTGCATGACGTGTTCCTGAGCGCACTTATTCCTCTGTGTCACCACAGCCGACAAAAAGCACGCAAAAGCATCTTGCCTCAGCTTGTCCAACTGAAGGCAGATTGTTGTTGTAGCTGCGTTCCACTGCCACCGGGCAGCGACCTCGGCGATGGTTTTCTGAGGAACGGCAGAAAACGAAGACTTGACTAAGAAACGAAGGCGATGCCGGTGACTGAGGAACGGCAGAAAACGAAGGCATTGCTTCGGCGTGGCCCGAGACTGCAACTTCCAAAACACTAACAAAGCAACAAATTAGTTTTTGATAATATAACGCAATTTAAAGTATAAAGACAATATACATTTTCTTATGATTACAGGGGTCACCGACGAAAGACACTTCAAGAAGAAAAAGAAGAAGAAGGGACTTCGCACTCCCAGTTTCCTCAAGATGAAGAAAGACAAGAAGAGAGAAAAAGAAGCCTTGCATCAGTAGTGATGACGGAAGAGCCTTTCCGCCATTTTGTTGCCTCTTGCTCGTGGTAAGTTCAAATGGATCCCGGGTGCTTTAATTGCCATCCCTCTCACTGACAATTTGTTTCATTCTCCAATGTATTGATATTTGTTGGAGAGAGTGCAATGATTTCAATTCCCAAGAGCATGATACATAAAACTATGGAATAACGAATAGTTCAAAATTATTTTTTTCTGCAGTGGTTGTTCTCTTTGATGTAGTAGCATTATATTCTGTTTCGATGGTGTTCTTTGATCGCTGTTTTTGTTGACGAATATGTGGTGCATTAAAAGTTTCTCCTCTACAATGATAACATTTCCCACTATTTGGATTATATACATATATTGATCATAATTACTTTATGAGTAATTATGCAGGTATTCTCAGATTTCACGGGCGAACACATGTCATCGAGTTGTAAATACACTGACGTACATGGCACTAGGAGCACCACTACTTCTTCTGGTACGCAGCACCTCTACAGACAAGCTCGGTTCAGCGTGCGACTTCGCCTGCCCTCAGCACTCAGCATCACGTGCATTTCTTCAAGTTGAAAACAAGATGAATGATTGTTGTACGGTTGATTTTGATTCTATCTTGAGTGACGTTGCTTTCTCTTACTTCAATCGACTGGGTTTTATTAATATATCTTCAATAGTGAAATGTTTCATATAAAGTTTAATTCATTGTGTCTCGTCTTGCTACGACGTGACTAGTAAATTAGCTTATTGATTCTGAGCGCTGATTTAGTTAACTCTAACAGTTTCAATGAATATATTTTACTGTATCGAGAAACGATCCCCTCTTGCAATTGGCTACAAAAAGTGCTTTATTTGTGCTCCTCTATTCCGAGTTTTCAAACCCATCCTTGTCTGATATTTAAACTTGAAAATATATTCATTCACACCGAACTACATTCATCGCCAAGAGTTTGAAACGTTCATATTTTATGTTTTTATTTCAAAATTCAAATTTAAGTGCGGAATTTCATTATTGCTGTTATTTTCTAGTAATTTTATCGCGCCAGAGGATAAATATGACTGAAATTTATATCTATACCATTTGAAATGAAATTTCATAATTATCGAAAAGGATGATGATCTTTCGACCATCATTACTCATGCCCATAGTTTGCTACGGTTTTATGTCTTTAGAGAGACGATGTTACACTCCTCACACCGCTATTATATCTACTGAGTGAGTGCTTGTCGATTAATAAAACGTTCTATTTCCCATCATTAAGCTCATGGTAATTAACATGACTAATGCTGGAGAAGATTTACTTGAACCTTTTACTCGCGTAGCGCAGGTAATACTTGACCGTGTATTCTGATCTAGCGCTCTGGCAATGAACTTATTTTTTGACAATAATTATTTTCGTGAGTTATTTTATCCAAGATGAATAATAAATATTTATCGGTTAATATTTTGATGCGCGTTAACTGCGTGCCATTTTTGATAGGGAAATTTGCATTTCGTTTGCATGAAGAATATACTGTTATAATAAATATTTATTTGCATTTATCGAGTCACTTATAAATTTTCATTTCCTCTATTGCCTATCCTATGCTTTATAACGTATCTGATTTATACCTTTTGAAAGATGAAATTACTCCTTGTTTTACGACGTGTTCATTGCGCAACAATTCGTCAGCTGAACAAGATTCTTGCAAATGGAGCTGGTTATTTTGAATGCTGGAGAACCCATGCGGTTGACGAATGATGGCGCCAGGTTTGTTGGTGTACAGTTTGGTCTTTATGATGGGTCTCGTGCGACGTATGGTATCTCTCTTCATTTCGTTCAACAATGAGTGAGCAACCCTGTTTTACTTGCAACTTGATATCAATTTTATCACAATTCAGCGAGAATTTCACCAATTTCAAATATGTGTTGTCTCCCAATATATTAATGCGCGAATTTACCCTGTCTTAAATTGTCTCTATCCACTGGTAATGCATTCGTTAACTATTATAAATAATTAGAAATGCCCTGTAGTGCCTATTGTTCTGTCGAATTCTGAATTGACTTCTAGTGGCTTGATGTGAGTGTTCAAGTTTCATTGAATCATATAGAGCCACTCTTGTCTGCAACTACTGAACCTTTCTGGCAGCTTTTCAGTTGATTATTGCTAATTATTTGCATAATAATATTTACTTGACATATTTATAAATTGTTCTTTTGAGTTCATTTTTTAAGTTGTAATTCCTTTATACTGCGATGGGTTTTACTAAATTCGATTAGTTTCATTTTTGCCTGTGAACTATTTCAGCAATTGTTTTGGTTATCTTCAATTTGTAAATTATGATTTCATTTCTAATGAATTCTTCGTGGAATGTTTGAGTTTATCGTAAAATCCATTACGTATAAGTGACCATGTTGCAGCCAATGCTGAGTTCATGAACACTGGTTTACGAGGGGGTTGTACATTTGGTTAAGCCAACTCCTAATTGTTTTCAATTCAACGGGTGAGCTCTGCTCACCAAATATCGAAAAAATCCTTTCAATTTGAAGTCGACTATACGTTGTTATGTACTATGTAGCTATTATACTTTATTACTACATCATGTCTGATACTCATGAATAGCTTCCATGTGTTTTACTCGCGTTAATATGTATTAAATCGATTTTAAATACATAGAAAAGCGTGAATAACAAGAGAACAGCATCGCATTTTATATATTGGTGTAACGATACAATGATGTGCGAGAAAATTAATTACGCTGATGACACTGCCATGTTTGCATTCGGTTGGATGCGATGTTATAAGGTAGGCATGTAACTATCTGCGATGTTTCTTCCTAATATTCTAGCATCTATATTCTACATTGCGTGTGTGCATAGTTCACTATTCCGTGTAGGCAGCTTTAAATTTCATATTTTGTTATAAAGCAATTAGGAGACTGGAAACTTATTTATAGATCGCGTGCTCATAAGATATTTAGTGTTTGGAATGAAGGTTTTGCGCCCATCTTATAAAAATGAAGTTTGCTGGCGCGTTTATTTCAATTACGGTTACTGTGTAGGCTTCAATAGCTTCTTCAGTGCTTTTTTACTCTATACCTATCGTCCCTATCGTCTTTGAACTGTGATTGTACTATGATGATATTTTTCTCACTACCGTTTTTTAGCTGGGTTCGGTACGCTTCTATGCCTTCTGTTATTTGTCACTTACTTTTGAGGAACTGCATTGATCGCCCCAGATGTTGCTTGCTTGGTAATAAACCCCTCAACTGTTGCATATTGTACAGAACGCGACAGAGTTTTCTATTAAATTTGTTCGCTTTCGTTACGACTTGAATCGAAAGAGAGGTTGAATGTGAGCTGAGTGAGATACCAATCATGGACAACTAAACCTTGAAGCAAGTTGTTAAGTGTGGAGGGAACAAACGCTTGTGTATTCGTGATGTTGAAACATAGCTGCTTTTGTTTTTCATATGAGGTGGTATAAATATATGAAGGAAGTGCTTATAGGTAATATGCTGTGAAGTTTCGAATCGAGCCTGCCCAATCGAGGATTCAAAACTATTATCGTTCTTACTTATCGCCTTTAGTCCGTGAATTCTGTTCCAGCGTCATGTCTGTCAGAGTTGACCCTGGAAGTAGAATTCAACATTCTTCGATTCTACCCAAAATGTGGCCTTTGATTAGGCTCGCAGGTGTGTAACGCTTGTAATAATTTATCCCGTATATTCAGGCAAATTTTTTCATTCGATTTTCAACATTCTGTCGCAATTTTAACTCCTTGTGGCCAGAAATCAGAAATGACGGTGCAATGTATCATTTATAATTATTCTGTCCTCTTCCTAACCCATACTACACTGCCAACAACAGATTTACAATCATAGTCACAGCGCAGAGCTGGCGAACTGCACAGCTTACGTTGTCTCCTCGTAGTTCTGAAACCCTATTCTTGTGGCTCTGTTTTCTTTTCGTAAGAAACTGTTGTTGGTCTACGGAAGCAGTTCTTTCTTCTATGCTGGTCAACACGATTTCTTTATTACAAATGCACTCGTCAGTTTCTGTATTGGGAATATTGATGTTGACAACAATACTCGGGGCAGTTTAGCCCTTTCTTATTTTATCAGTAGTGCACTCGCGTTCAATAATCAAATCTTTGCTGCGATGATTGTTCCGTGAATCGTAGTATTCAAGGCTCATTATTAGTCCTATCTATAAAGTGGAAATTGTGGCAGCTGAACTAAGCTCTTTTTTTAAATAAAATTATCTGGAACGATTTAGCTCGTCGCTTACCTACTCTTTGTATTTTCTTCTCAAGTGTCTAGTTTCAGCCCTTACCAAAAAGGTTGTGAATTGATCCTCCAGTAGTGTTTGATATATTACACATAAATATTAATCGATGTAGATAGTAGGCATTTCCTTTGTCGCAAACAGGCTAAAAGAACGAATCCAGGAAGCAATCCACAATGAAAGTTATTTTCAAGAGCAGATGCAAAAAATATCCAAGTAAAATTGAAAGAGAAAGGAGATTACGTAAAAGTTTACGCTTAACTAAAGGTTAAACTTTCATCGCAAGTTTGTATTCGAATTGGTACGTCGGCTCGGATTATGAAGAGATCAATCGCGAGCATCGTATTCAAATCGTGCTTCATGAAAGACGTGTATTTTAACTATTCGTTTTGGCATTTATTCGTCGCAAGGGGTAATAGAAACTGCTCACGACTTGGAAAAGATTCCTCAAGAGTTCATTGGTGGTGCAATAGTTCTCGAACGAAATGATCACATTTGGGTAAAAACTGCTATCCATATAATCAATTGATTCTTAAGTACAGAATGATCCAAGCTTAACATTCTAGAGCATAGAAGCCTTAATTTTGTTTGGTTCAAATTTGGCTGCTCTGAACATGCGAACACGAGGAAACATTTTTTAGAAGTCAAACCGTATCATCAAGATGTGAAGGAAAAGAGAAAACTTTATTTGTCTCATGCACAAGTTTCTCATGCATAAGTTGTCTCGTCCGATCAACTCCAACCGTCATTTTCCATTACGATTAATGAGAAAATTAGGGAGATTTTCTCTGAAAGCGATAGCCTCATACTGGACTGATTACTGAAGATTGACGATGAAAATTCTATGGGTTTCGTGGGTTGCTTGGAAGGCAATTCAGTGCCATTTAGGCTTATGCTAAGCCGAAAAATAGTGGACATCCAAGAAAATTAGGCTACAAACAACCTCTTTGCAACTTGAACATAAAAATAATAATGCCAATTATTGCTGAATGTAAACGCATTCAGTAATACCAAAGATAGGCTTGAAATTAAGCTTATTAGTTGAAATCTTAGCATATAATCAAAGTTAGCGAAATATCGCTAGCACACCCACTTGAAGCAACAATTTACATATGCAAAGGGACTGCAAAACTATTTTTAAATCGGGGTTTTGCGTTGAATGTTGATGCCACTATAGCGAAATTTTCAAAAGAAAAAATAGAAGGAAACATGTGTTAAGATACATTGTCATAACTATAAGGTGTTTTCTACAATGAGCGTTAAGATTCTAAATCTAAGTACTGAAAGACATAGGTTCTACAAGGCAGTTCCTTATATTTGTGGAAAATCAGTTAGAGAAGGGCTGCTTGAGTCCACCGACCGGAGGTGGAGGAGGCCACAGGGAAGTAGGAACAACATCGGGTGAAGCAGCAACAGCCATCGCTCCCTCACTCCGTGTCATAGACGAGTCACGGCCAGTGTCCATTGAGCTTTCTTCCTCAATAGAGTCTTGCGGAGAAAGTTTCCTACGATGAGATAGTGGCGAACATTCGGTCACTTCTAAATGTCTCGCACGTCGTCTGTTGCGCCTTCCTCTCCTTGGTATCGTATAGCTATTGTACTCCATTTCATAAAACGGCTCAGTTCTGCTAAACTCTTTGAAAAGACGATCGGATTTCTCGTCGATGGAGTAATCTCTTTGTAACGCTCGGAGTTGAGACTTGGAATACTTATGAGGACTCATAAATCGGTGCATCACAGATCTTTTCCCACTGACTTCGTCATTTCTAGAAGCGTCCATCTCCCTCCTTTTGCGCCCAACGACTAGCGCTGACGATGAACACGGGTATGCAGACACGTCGCCCGGATCAGTTAGTTTCGAACTGCAAGGACCGTCGGTCTCCATAAAAGAAGGCTCAACGCTTACACTATGCCAAAGTTTGCGGCTTAAATGAAACTGCTGCGACCTAGCCAGCTGCTTATCCTTAAATTCCAAGGTAGGCTCATCTGGACTCTTATTGCTTGACATCTCATCATCTTCAGTTGATTTCTCTTCATTATCACTACTAGGTATTGTACCTCGAATGCTAAACGTGGGATGGTGAACACTTTCTTCGAAAGTATTCTGAGACCAGCTGGCCATAGAATAGCGACTTGTGCTCGCAACTTCTATACTCCTGTAGCCGCTGTCTGTTTTCTTCATCTGGTGAGGCCTCGGAGCTCGTGATTCGGGGACTGAATCTACAGACGCATCGAAAGCCGAGTCAACGCTGACATTGGCATCATGGCGGATGAAGTCAGTGACGGAAGAGTTGTCAGTGTCTACAGAATCGAAGCTGTTGTCAGACGAGATAATCATTCCGGACAGCCCTTCCTGGTGCTGTAAGGAAATTATAAGTATTTAATGCCTTACGTCAATGCATAAATATACTTAGATTATAAAGACTATAGTAATTGAACTCTAACTTTGAGTCTGCAATCCCAAATTTATATTTCATTCATATTAATTTTGAAGCGTGATTATTCAACTGTTAATTTAATGTTAATACAATATGGCACACATAAAGTTTATCTTTGCAGTCTGTTTAACGGGCAAACAATTTGAAAATAAATGTTTTGTAGTTATATTTATTAATCTAGCACGTGTTCACTCTCTTGACTTGCATTGAGAAATATGGCTAGTCTTATGTAGGACATTTTTTAGTTAGGACAGCTGACTTACATATGGAACAACGCCAAACGGCAGTTCAGATACTTTTGGGTAAAGCATAACGTAATAGGAAAAATTGCATTCTAACGGCAATCAAATATTTTGCGATGGTGCCATCAGTTTATTTTCTTGCATATCTGCATTCACTGGATCTAAAATTTATTGCATCGCGTGAAATTCAAAGTCCAGTAATGAGGGGGGGCTACAAAGGTTATTATAAAAAAATATAACTCCGTACTCACTGCAGTGAGTGACAGAGAGCGCATTTTCTCGTCGACGAAAACTTGAGGTCACGGACGGACGGACAGACGGACATGGCGAGCACAATAGTGCATTTCTTCCATAAATGAGAAAATGCGCTAAAAAGACCATTCGCAACTGATTAGTAGATACACATCAGTCTCGAAATTCACAATACTGCACCAGTCACAATATTTAGAATTTACCCAGACAATCAAGAGTTGTTAGTGAACTGAGAATCACAAATCGGATAAATAAATTAAATAATTTTTCACCTTCAGCCTACGCGCCAGGATGGCTCGGTAAGACGTGCGCCGAGCCTCCGGCGTCATAAGGATCACGTTGTTGTCTTCCTGCGATCCTGGCTTGTCCGCCATGTCGGAATCTGTGAACAATTGTGAACCAAGCGCATATGAAAAATATATATGAATGCAATTTTGGATTAGAAGCACGAAATATTCTAAATCGATTAGTTTCGTGCAGTACGGTTGTAAATTTGGTGAAAACATATTATTTAATCCTTACTGTATCCTTGATCGAAATTCAAATTAAATCTCAAGCGTTCCCGAAAATAAAAAACAACCCCACGAAACATTGATTAAACACGTGAGCATTGAAAGCATCAAAGCTCGACACCGTTTTAAGGACACCAACTCAAAAAATTCCAAATATGAAACGACGAAAATAGATTATATACTTAGTTTTTTCAACTCTATTGGTCATTGTTACCTGGGGAGCTCTCATCGGGAGTTTGTCCGGTTTTCAGATTGTCGGAGTCCGGATCTTCGTCTTCCAAAGTGCTACGCAGCTGCCACAATGCCACACACTGAACCTTCATCATAAAATAAATATAACTTGGTAAACTAATTTAAATATGAATCTTTCTTATAACAAGGAAAAGGGACGATGCGAGTCAAATTTTATTTCAACTGTCAACTCAGTTATAAAAAAACTATTCCCTTCGCTTCTAATAATAAGAATAATATTAAAAATGTTAATAATAAGAATAATTACAATAATATGTATAATAATCATAATAAAGTAATAATGATACTCTAAATGTAAGAAATGTAAGGTGCATTGCTCTCACTTTAATTTTGTCAGCGTCCTTCCCTGATGCGGTGTCGCTGCTCTCAAGCAACTCTGCCATATCTTCATTCACCTAAAAAAAGAGAGAATTTTCTTAATATAAAACACGCTGCGAATATGGGATAATTAGAGAATACAAAGAGTATTTGAATTTGCGGAAGACTGAAATCGCTCTTTCAATACGTGATATGCTTAATATAAATTTTTAGGAATCCTCAAAAAATACACAAAGGTGATAAGCACAAATCATTACAGAGAAATTATTGCTACAATCACATAATTCCATAATTGGAGAAAATATATTATTTTAATTTAGTTTCTAACGGTGCCAAAATAGCACCTTGTTGAGCTGCTCCACTTCAGTGAACGGAGTGACCGCCTTAGTCTGGTCAGCCTGTCCGTCCTCGTCATCTGACGGAGTCGTGGAGTCGGAGTGCCACAGGAGCGTAGGGCGGGAAGGCTCGTCCGCACCTCCGCTCTCTAGAGACGACTGACGTTGCAACGAACCGCCCGTTCGGTGCTGCCAGATCGAGTCTGATCCTCTGTAACATCGTTATACGCTATCTGAGCTTGCACGGAAAGATATTTTCTCAAAAGATATTTGAGATCAGAGAGTTATTTAAATTATTGTTCTCTTCAAAAAACCAATTAAAGAGATGATTTGTTATTAAACATTATGTTATTAAATGTGTTATTATTTGTTAAAATGTTATTAAACATTATAAGATTTCCATATTATCGATCGATCAAACATTCCTGAAGCTCGCTTCTATTTTATTCAAAATTCTATTTTAGTAGCTGATATATAACAGGCACACAGTAATCCGGCAAAACGCACATGTTTTCTCGAAGAGACAACGAAGCTTCTGCCTCCATAGGTAAGGACATCATTCTATTCAAGCCCCAAGATCTGCCTGGACCCGGAAAGACGTTACTTCTACCAGCAAAAGAAGAGTTAGATGCTGAATACGAGGAGTTGGATGCAAACAATGTATCTGAAGGTACCCGTCTTGCTGATAAAACTTGGTCATTTCTACATACTTCTTCTTGATTGATTTGGGTTGCTTCGCGCAACGATTGGAAAGCTGTGTCTTGCGAAAAGCTTTGCTCCGTGACTGTTCTTTGAGCGGTTCCCTCGGCTTGTGTGTAGGGATTCGTATCAGTCGAAGTTCCGTGCACTGTAACAGGTTCATGTAACCATCCCTCCACGCCTGGTCCAGAGGAATTCAGAGGCATGGTAGACCTCGACTGTCCTCTTCCAGCAGGAGGTTGGGGGCCTCCGCCCTCCATGTCTGGCAAGGCAGCCGCTCCTGCTTCGTGGTCTTTTAGAGGGATTCCTTGCAGCTTTTGTTCAGCTACGCTTGCATCCCGCAGGGAAGCATACTCAAGCTCGAGCGCGGTGTTGTCTAGTAAAACTGTATCATCCTGAAAAATAGTTTTTCAATAATTATACATCACAAGTCAAACATACTGAAGAAACTAAAGTACCTTCAATACGGAGGCATAGTTCTTTGCATCAAGAGTGGAATAGTGAAATTCGCGTGTAAAATACCCTAAAGTTGGCAGAGCGTCTCACATACTATTCGCACCTCGAAATCTGGCACGAAGGCAGCAGAGGTTGGAAGCGACAAGGAAGTCCGGGCATTCCGTTTCCGTCGGGTCACCTTCTTAGAAGTCTTCTCACACACCAACACGCACGGATACCCGCTGCTTTTGCTAGGCCCCAACCTGCTAGAAATCACTCGAGTCATCGCAAGCGAAATAATGAATTGACAAACGAAGCCTCAATAACGCATAAAAATACAGTATGTATGCCAACCTATGTGTGCCAAAGGCGTTTGGAACCGAGACTACTTGATATACTAATTCATCAACAATACAGAGAACGTTTAACAGCTTTAAAAGGCAATGTAATATTTCACACGTAGGTATGCCTATAACTAGGCCATAAGAAAAACTTCGCATGAAATATATCAGTAAAGCTTAGTTCCACGGAATAAAATCTAGTAAAAACTTTAGTGCCGAAAAACGAGCAAGATTAAACACGGGGCGTCAACATGAATTCACTTGAATCCAACCCCATTTAATTCGACGATCATTTGGTAACAGTCACATCTTTAAAACGATTTATCATCAGTTTTTCGTCCCGTTCAACATGTGTGCCTAAATGCACGAATAAAGTACCAATGCTTGACCTTGATGCTACATGCATTTTCATGGAACATTTCAAGGTTTCAATTGCGACCTGAAGCCTAAATCCCGCACATTTTGGGGCACAAAACGACACAGGGTGAAGGCCAGTGACGTCACGACCGGCTCACGTGACGTCAGAGCGAAAATTACCCGCTCCAGCGCCCACACAACTCGTCCTTAAAGCCGTGAGGTTCAAGGGCTCAGCCGCCGGGTCCAGGTATAGACCCCACTAAGTATCTTACGCCAGTAACATTCCTTAATGGCTTCGCTAATGAAATAACAATCGTTATTCAAGTCAATCAAACACTTTAAAAATTTACGAGACAAGTATTCTGTCGGGTAAGGTTTTGAATACATTATGTACAAAAAAAGAATCTGAATCGATTGTAGAGAATATTCAGTGAATAAAGCAGCTCGGCAATAATGGCAAAATCATTTTTAGTCTCAAGGTCTTTTCCAGTAAGAAGAATTATTGTAGCAAGATAACGCTCGATTGATATAATGCTTAATGATAATCTACACAATTAAACTTACGCAATTACATTAAAATTATTTTATTAACGTTATTATGCAGTTATCTTGAGGGATATTTTTGGCACAGCGTTTTCTAAAACTCAATTCTGTTCAATTTAAAGATGCAGGCTTCGTTTCGGGTATCATCCATATAAATCGAATCCTAAGTCACTTCAAATAATTTAGCGTATTAAAATATTGTATATAAATGGCAATATCCCATTGTTATAACAGAACACGAAAGATCTCTAGTCACGTCTAACAACTTAAAATAAAACATTCGTTGCATAGTCCGTGACCATTTTTCTCAGGTTTTGATCAGCAGGTAGGCAGGTTTCATTGATTTTATTTCGAGCAAAACAAAAGCGTTCAGAGCGAAGTCTGGTCAAATTGATAACAAATCGAAATCAGACTACATTGTATCGTTATCCCTACGAGAAAAACTCGTTTTAAAATTATATATTCTAGGTAGAAGCAATTGTAATACAAATTATTAGCAAAATCCAATAAAAATGTAACATTTTCAATGTATCATCGAAAGATTCAATGTTACAGTTTACATATTCTCATCACTACCATGAACGAATTTGATTAACGAAATTCTGTAATGACATCATATAGATAATTAGAAAATCACGAATTACATCAAACGGGCTAAAAGGTTTCTAGCTTCATTATCATTTCTACAAGAAAATTATAATTTCAATTGATTACTTGACATTTGCTAAAAATGCTGCTGAGAATGACTAGAAATTAAAATTGATCAATTTTCTATCTAAGTTTGCATACATGAAAAGAATAAATGCAAGATTCACTATTATACACGGAATAATTATTTAATACATAGCATCTTGACTATACAAAATTGAATATATGACATATGATCATCCTGAGTACCTTGTCATCTAGGAATGTTTAATTTTCAAACAGAGCTGTTAAATCGAACATTTCTGTAAAATTAAAAAAAAAAAAGATTCTAATTAGTTACACATTAGAAAATTTCAAACTTGCTAACGTGCATGATTCGTTATTCTCGAGTGACTTCTTCGATTTTTTTATGAATATATTAAGAATTTACTTTGATAAGAACTTTCGAATATGAAACATTTAAAATTTTTCGAGGTTCATCATTTAAGGAATTTTTGCCTACAATTTTGGTTCTTTATTGAAAGGTTGCACCATATATTTTAGAGCAAGTTCTTCGGGGCTTGTCTCTCTGTCGTTACCGTATTTGAAGTGGTTCCAGAAATAGAAACAGTCCAATATAACCTTCTTATTAAATATATTAGTGGCAACAATCAATTGTGAGTATTACACCGGCCATTTATGCTGATAAAGACCCTGAGTAATAGAGTTTATTCAGATTAAAGTAGTTCGAATTACTCCTTTAAATTCAGCCACGCAAGCCGATCTGTCCTACAAAAACTATTCACAAATACAGCATTACTGACGGGCACGCTAGAGGAGTTCAAGGCTACTCGTTCAACTGCCTTTCATTATCACAGCTACGATATTATAAGAGGACACAAGGTTAGCGTCACAGCTACGATATTATAAGAGGACACAAGGCTAGCGTCACAGCTACGATATTATAAGAGGACACAAGGCTAGCGCAATCTTGACGTTGGACGCTAAGGCCCTCGTGACGTCACCGCTATGACGCACGCACGCCAGCAGCTATTGATTGTTGGAGGAGAGGACGTGGCTTCAGTGCCTGAGCCCTCACGTCACCACCCCTCGGCGTTCTCTGCTCTCTCTCATATCAATGACTTTCTTACACTTGCATCTTCGTAAATCTGACGCCACTATCGACGTACTACGCATAACAGCTGGATCACATTATCAAGAATAAATATATTGTGATGAGACTACATTCAGTACATCTATTTTGGTGCAGAAACAGCCGCATCCCAATTACTTACTCTTGTGTTCACCACTTCACTACTTTGTTCTCTGTTTTGGAAGGAAGTTTTCATCGTAAGTAGCCTGGAACACGCAACTTCAACAGCACGCGAGGCTCCATAAGGAGAAGTAATTATGATCTAGAAGTCTAGAACATCCTAATTATGCAGGTTTTTAACTTTAAGGAAATGCTATCAGAGTTATAGGATTTTTCAATATCAGTGTCCCAAATGCAATCGTCGATAGGAGATGCGGCTGCTCACTTACTTAAATGCTAAATACAAGGTTATAGACTTGCATGGAGATCTGACGACCAACATGTTCAAGCTCTTCAAATTCATATTGATTCATCTATGTTAAGTTATATATTGTATTTCCAAGTATGAAAACGCAACTAGTTCAATAATGTATACAGTGCATACTATTATATTTGGAAATTTCATACTATTATATTATACTATATACTAATGTATAATGTGCATACTATTATATTTGAAAAGCTCACTTTGAGAGGCAATGAATGAAGATCGAAAAATCTTACAACGTCTCCAACTCTTGAAATAGTCCCGCTATGAATATTGAACGCATTCAAGATATCAAATAATAACGCTCTAATATAGCGTTTGATTAACTAATGAATAAGCGAAAATGTCACGCATCGCGTTGGAACAGCTGAAATTACGATGAGATCACTCACAGTTTAATCAATGCTAGCATATAACTAATATGATATCCATGACTTTTTTACGGTCGAATAAAAACTTTATAATCGAATTAGGATGAATTCTTCATAACTATGACTAAGCAATCGTCAATCGCAGATATCTGTGCCCTGCGAAAATAAATATCGTTTAGAAGTTGTCTATTAGAAATAGTCGACTTGGCAACGTTGCGGCAGCTGGGAGCCAAAGTTCGATGATGTCGATCCTGGATGTTGGCCAAAATTTCTTGAGGCGACGCAGCGTGACTTTTTTATATTAGAATAAGAAAAGAGAATCCAAAATTTTTATCGTTCAGAAGATTGGTTTCGTTTTTAAATCTCGTCATGAATTCTCATGGTATTCAATGATCAGACACAGCGAGATATTGTTTAATAATAAAATAAGACGAAGAAATCGAAATTAGTTATTTTTTCACCATGCAGAAGTTGTTATCGTTTCTAAACAAATCAGGAGTTCTCATGGATTTCAATAATCATTAAATAGATAAATATCTGTGAATAAATATTAACAATAAATGTAGAGGGCTGACGAAAGATAAATATAAGCCATCTAAGAAAATTTAAGCGAGTAAGAAAATAGAATCAAACCTAGAGCTTAAGAAAATGGTGAGTGACAAGTTCAAATACGGGCTGTACATATAACATGAAGTCATTTGAGATCGTATCTACCGACAAAGAAGCTGCCTCGAATTGAACGTACCATTAATGCCTATTATTCATGAATTGTTCATAAAATAAAGTTTGCTCTTTTAATTCATGTGGCAACCAGGCAGAAATAAGATTTTACGTGTTATTGGTCTGAGGATTTTTGGACGCTGCCGCGTCTGCACTAATAAATGTCCTGTGTAAGAACACATTTAAAAACTCTCAGTATATTCGTAATTTAGCAAGAGGATGTAAAACGTCGCTTGCACAGTAAAATTTGTGAAATTTCAAGTACAAGCATGACCAAGCCTGTGAAAAAATGCTAAGTCTACGGAAATTACTAATGAAGGTTAATTACGTTACACTCTCAAAAGATGTACCACATCAAAATTATTCATTAACGCGATTAAAAATAATTTCATTGCGAACCAGTCGCAGAATTAATAAGAATTCCTATTAATTCTTGTAGAATTAATACAAATGAATGAACAACTTATTATATCGACATGAATTATCCCATCTCATCACACTCGAAATACTTTAACTACTCATTCAAATTGAGGAGTATTTAGTGATTTTATTTTTTCAGAGTCTAAAGCATTATTTTCCCACAAAATATCGCAGCACAATAAACGCAGGAATAACTTTCATAATCATTGTAGTGGAAAATTTGTAACTGAATAGAAATTACAACAGATGAACGAAGAACTGAATAAATTTAAACGTGTATCTATAAACGCTTTGCTAAAAAAGTATTTGATTTGGAAAGAAGAGCAATCCTAGATTTAACACTTCACAGAAGAAACTTGATTGACCGACTAAACTATGAAATCTTATGAAACATACGAATCAAAAATTGCATAGGTACACAATTCTGCTGTTCAGTTAGATTTCAGTCATAGCGTGACATTCAAGTATTGCTGATTAACACGAGTAAAATTATATAGTATAGAAAAATAAATTTGGTACACAATCAAACATGAGATTTCACCTTCAAAACTACGATCGGTGTTAGCAACTAAGCCGATCAGGACATTTTTGTTTAGCTGCGTGCGATTAATTATTGTTATATCTTATTCGGATATGTGAAACAAAATAGGGAATGCTACTAAGAAATTAGGGGATGAAATGAAGTTAAACATGGCAATGTTATAATAATTTCATAATACATAAAATCATACACGCAGTTGCTCTACAAAAAAATGTCCATCGATTTAGGGAATATTTTTGACGTAAATATAATTTGTTTTTAACTATCAGCATACTGCACTATGTTGCCGTTACAATGCATATGTTTTTAAATTACCGTAAAAGTTTACCAGGCAAGTCTTATATGAAAACAAAGAACATCCGCATGAGAATACGTCTGACTAACTGTGTAAACAAATTTATGTCATAATGTAGCCTCTTACCTTAAACGATGCTCCTGTTCGTCTTTCTGTTGAGTCTTACAAGAAAAAGGATCTGTATCACAAACCCTTTCACAAATTGTTTCTTGAAGAAGAGAATTTGAAGTTCTGAAGCCAAACTTCCACCAGTTGCCTAAACCTCTACTTTTTTCTGTCAAAGAAGCTACGGTGGAAACAGCAGTTGTCGGGGCTCTTTCGCTCTGCACGCTCGCGGTCACCTCACGAGAGATGGGTTGTCTACAGTTGTCCCTTCTTGCTTGAACGGTTGATATGAGCTCACCTGAATCGTATGATACACTTGATCTGAAGTATTCAGGACTAGGACTGCTATTGTAAGAAGGCGAGTCGGGGAATCTCAATGCTGTACGAGAGTAAATCACTTCGTGCTCAGACACGCTCACGTCATCCAGGCACGGATTGGTGTGGCTGCCATCAACTGGGCTGCTGGCATGAAGTCTGCTTGCGTTGGTACCATCACTCGAATTAGTTCTTGGCTTGATGCAACTCGTAAAAGACGGTATTTTTTTGTTCTTATCACAGTCAAGTGTGGGACAACACCAAAACATGACTCTGACGGACAGAGTATGAGGGGAGAGGTGGTAAATCGGGAATAGTTGGAGAACATGAGTTCAGACATACCATTAAACAAGAATCCTTCAAAAATATATTCCTATTATTTTCGTAAGAATTTTTCTTTTTTAATTAAGAATTGTCCAAGGCAACAACCGTTGCACACATATTCTCAACTGACATAATACTAAAAATATTGCCCGCATGAGACGCGTTCAATCATTAGTGCTTGTTTCTCCAGCTCGTGTCCCGTATCCCTGCAGGAGGTAACTTAATTACGCGTTCCGTGCTAGAGACGAGCTCCTACCCAAAATCTGTCGAACAAAGAGGTAGACGTAGATCAATGCTGTGATATTTAAACTTCCAAAACGCTTAGGTGACGTGAGACACATTCTTGTAAATTTCATAGATTGCACGATTACCAATTAAACCAACTGCAAGAGATAACCCTTTTTTAGAAGCTCATGCAGTCTAATTAATTCATAAACAATACCAATAAATTAAAGACAGTTAAGATAAATTTTGCCCTGTAACTCGATGTCGATGGTCTTCGCGCCAGTAACCAACAAACGAAAGTCGATCTTTATTAACAACTGGTTTTATTATTTCGGATCAAATAGTTTTCCAGATGTAGCTTCAAAATAGCTTATTCCTATAGACTCAACTCAATGCCGTTGACGCGATGAAAATTTCATCATTTACTTTTTTGTAGAATGTTAAAAATAGAATTGTCACGATTTCTACAATATTTCAGTCCACTTAAAGAACCGCAGCTGCCTGTCTCGTCTATACAACCTGAACTGCTTCAGACGCATACGCATCAGCGACTTGCATCTGAGGAATAAATCACCATAATATTTGGAGTGCAAATACTTGCAGCAAATACTAGCCGCATGTATAAGCACCTTAAACTACGTGAGCGAATCGGGTGCCTTCGAGAAACTAGACGGGGGAACATTCGTTCAAAAAATTCACTACTAGAATTGAACTTGTTACGTTACGGAGGGTAACTGTCCACTTATTGACCTCGCATGATTATTTCTTGCTGTCGGATCTTGGAAGCTAATACTATTAGCGGATCACTTGTATTCTTTCCGCATCCTGTAATGTTTCGTCGCGCGTCGAACATGCCGGAAATTTAGCAAAGCAGTGAGATCGCGGACAATAATCAAGTAACTACGTAATGTGTCTGAAGATACTGTTAACTTTCTTGTTTCACCTCCAAGTAAATTGTCAATTCGCATTCTCGGATACAAATACAGCAAACATAAATTAGAGTTAGGAAAAATACGTTTAAAACAGAGGCTGGCTAAACGGACATTTGGACCGATAGCAGATTCTAGGGGTGGACAAATTAAAAAAGATCAGACGGTGGTGTATAAAGGAAAATATTTATGATTCTCAATGCGTGGCTAAACTTTCCCCTTTCAGGTCATATCGATAATAACCACCACTTTCTTTTAATATAAATGTATATTCAAACGTCGTATGGGTACAACACAGAAGTCGTTTAGAAACATTTCTGCTTATTTTTGGTTATTAGCTGTTGATTTAATTTTTTTCAAAACGTATACGGATGAGTGTATATACGCATGGAAAAGGTCTATGTAAATACAAGCATCCTATGAACAGGTCCATGTACAAAAATTTCTGCCGACCCCTGGTGGAGAATCAATTTAAAATCAAGCTACAACGTCGTTGATAAGCTTCAACAGGTTGCACGATGCGTAAAACGTTTCTTTCAGGTGATTCAATTCGGCCCCAACGACTCTCGGCTTGAAAAGTCAAGAATTTTCAAAATTTTTTATCCTGATAGCCAAACCAAAACTTCACAATGATCAATGTCCAATTTTAGGAAAAGTGTGAAACCTCAATATACAAGGTTATTATATATTATACGTCCACTTCATGATTACCAAAAATCTATGAATTCCTTCCAGTGTTCATATAAATCAATTACCAGTGCAATAAATAATAAATATATCTAGTACCGGGCAGACTGTCGAACTAAATGGAGCGGATAACAAAATTATCCGGACAACTCTTCCGGCAAGAACTTGAATGAAAAATAAATAAGAACTGCAAAATTCTCCGCAATTAATTTATAATTTATTAACCAAGAGCGTACAGATTATTTGGCCTACAATGTAATAATCTATTCAGTCCTAACCTCACTTTGAAATAATGTAATTATTGTAAATAAGTAATTATTGCAACATTAATTGAAAATTAATGTAAATCGGGAGAGATTAGACTATATTTGATTATAGACAAGCAGGTTATTTGACTGAAATCGTAATAGCGAAAGAAAATATGATAGCTAAGTAACGTGTCGTCAGCACGGCATTCGAGAAGTAATGAACAGCAAGAAAATTTTCAGAGTCATCACAACAATTGGACACCCTTCACCTCAGGCATCTAGCGAGCAACTGGATCGTACTGCACTGCACTCCTGAGTCTAAACTTCTCCTAGGCTCCGTCGAATCCGAAGTCCGGACTCCAGAAGTAGCTATCCAAACCCCACTATTATCCTATAAACATCAATCTAGATAAAATAAAAATAAAACTTACCAAGATCAACACCCGCATATATAACATACATTTATGCGTGTTTGAGGTTCGCAAGTCCTTTAAAAAAAGTCTCAAAAGTCAAGCACAAGTGCCGGTAATAATCATTTGCTTATCGTGGCACGGGCAGCTTTAGTTCTCTAGGCCCATGAATGAAGAAGCTCGTAGCTGGCACATGTACGATGACTTCCGGCAGTATCAACAGTAATATAAAATAACCGTTTTATAGAAATTTTATGAAACTGCAATATGATACAACTATATTACTTACAAATATTGTTCGAAATTTTAAAGTTAAGAGGCTGAGAACGTCCGTGGATCAAGCGAAAAACTGATCAGGAAAGACATCACCGATGATTGGTGCGGACTCTATTGCTGACGTCAACACAGAGAATCAATGAAACGCGTCTCTACTACTGGCACCAACTTACTGCTTTCGTAGTTTTATGACATTGCAATATATCTTGATGGCTTTTTCCTTATGTCACTTAAAATTCAAGGATTAAGCACGTGATATTCTTCGAGTGGTGATATTCTTCGACCAGGCCAAAAAAAAAACAGATTGTAAATTATTTCCAAACAGATTTTATCACAATGCTAACACTTACTACGATTTAAAATCGATTTTGCGTATAATCTTTCACCGTCAATCATATATTCCGAGATTCTGTTTCGCTACCTGGAATACGAAAATAGAACATAATTGTCATTTTTGCTCCTACTAGAAATTTGAAGGTTCAATAAAACATCAATTTTCCAAGTGTTTTTATGTACAATCTGATTCTGTATACAAATCAAAACTCTTCATACAATAACCACGTGTCATCCGTGATTTTCCTAGTACATTGCTAAGCGCATTATTTTGAAAATCTGGTTTTATCGCTACAGATCAGTTCAAGCGTATAACTTGAGAAAAAAAAAGCAAGTAAAAATGAAATTACTCCAGAGACAAATAGCTGAAGTCGCGACTGTTTGCTAAGATACAGAATACCTCGTTGAACATAGAATAAAATAATGCACACACGAGAAGCAAAATCTTACGCATTAATATCACAGATGGCGACTCTACATCATAAGCTAGTACTACCATTAAATCCATAATGATTGGACCCAATTATGCAATAAATTAGAATTAAGTAGACTTTCTCCGGTGATTGTGGGCTAACGAAAAGTTGAATACTGATTAATAGGCGAAATAAGAGGGAAGTTATTTTAATTGTAAAAACTACGGCCAAGAAGCTAGCTAGGCCATGAAATTTTCTACGCGTACGTACCCATGGTTTCTTTCTCTGAAAGTTATTCAACAAGTGAATAACGTACAAATGTGCGTGAAACGCACATATCAAAGGTGCTAGTTTAACAAAATCCAGGTATGTATTCAACAGTACAATACTTGAATCAATTACTATCGACAATATGAACTATCAAAATTTTCACATCATGGCGATAGATCAAAGGAAGCTAGAGATAATCATATTTAACGCAAATAACACCCAAAATTTTAGTAACACTGACAGTGCGAATGAAACTTTCTAATGGTCATATTGCAGCAGGTACAGCAAACTTTTTTTCAAGACTCATCCCATAAGAGTCGATAGGCAATATAAAGGAAGTATTCAGCCCAGAACCTCGCTAATAAAAAATTGTTATTTTAGAATGAGATTTTGGAAGAACATCAGGGAAAAGATGGAGTTCAAAATCATCACAAACAATTACCGATAGTAAGAAAATGTATTGATTTAGAGAAAATAATAAAATCATATAAAATTCACTGTGTCATTTGCTCAACAGTACAACCTAAACCAGGAAGTTATATTGCTGAACAGTGCAGAATCTATTCATCTAGCGAGTTATAGCTAATAAATATATTAAACAATTGCATTATTACGATGATGGGAGTCATCAATTACTTTCAAATAGATAAATGCACACTAACAACACCTAAAAAATATAAACCTACGCCTTGAGTTTCTTCTGCTTCTTGTCCTTCTTCTTCTTCTTTCGCTTTTTGTCCTTCTTTTTCTTCTTTTTAGATTTTTCGTCACTTTCTTCGCTGGAACGATTATCAGACTTTTTTTTTTTCTTCGATTTCTTTCTTTTCTTTTTTTGGGATTCATCTTCAGAATCAGAATCCGAATCACTACTGCTACTACTGTCACTACTACTGCTAGATGACACAGAACGTTTCCTCTTCTTACGCTTTTTCTTCCTGTCATTCTCTTCTTCAGTGGTGACATCAGTGGAGGCTGTTGATTCTCTACGGAACATAGAGTCATCTGCTCTAGATCCCGACTGAAAGGATGAGCGTTTCATGGTAATAGACTGCCTCGATGCTTCGTTATTTAGGTCTGCGTGTACTTCATTGGACGCTACACAAATCGACGATTCCTTAATATAATGTCTATATTCAACGTTCTCAGACGATTTCATGGAGATATCCTTGATAGAGGAAAGACTCGTTGATTCCTTCGAATAGTCCTGAATAGAGGAAAAGCTCAGAGATTCAATAACGTTATCCCCAGAAGATGGAACATCTGAAGATCCTTTGGTGCACTTCTCACCTGAAGATCCATGGGAAGGGTCTGAATTTGTCCTCCTAGTGAAAATATCCTGCGATGAATCGAATTTGTCGTTCGTTGAATTACCAAAATATTCAATGGAGTCTTTAGATGTTTTAGTTGACGATTCGTCAATTTGTTCACTGCTAGGAACAGAGCTGGGTGTTTCTACTTTCTGTTCCATTGGATCCGCAATTGAAGTGATGGTGGGATCAGTACATGAAGAACCACTGTCGTTACCAACGGAAGCTTCGTTCTGGATTTTAAAGTCATTTGGTTGAAGATTTTTGAGAACAGAATCTCCTTGCCTAAGCAACTGTTCGGAAGATTGACGTAGTTCTTCCAACTTGAGTGTTATAGAAGAAACTTCATATTTATTGGCAATCGATTGCTCAAATTTTGCACGATCGTCGCGAAATTTATGTGAAAATTCATCTACAGGATCTGTTTTTGAGCCAAGCACGTCTTTAGCATCGCTTTCAGCGGTCGTGGTCTTAGAAATAACTTCCGAAGGGGGACTAGAAACATCTTGAGAATTAGAGAGCGAGGATTTCTTACTATCCTCAAACTGATCCGACTTACGAGAATCAGGTCTCAACTGCGAAGCGATATCGTGGGTCGGTTCGTTTAAATCGTTTTCTTTGTAGGTTAGCTGTTCTGATACTTTCTGATCAGAAACATTGCTCATTGAGCTCGATGGTCGTTTTTGCCAGATATCGCTTTCACTTTTTGACGATATAGTTATTTGGATAGACGGCCCTTTTGCCTTGGCTTCACGGCCAAGCTTCTCGAAAGGAAAATCGACTGCATCTGACTTCTCTCTCTCCTCGTCCAACAGCTTTGCACGCTCCATCTCGACAAAAGCTTTTCGCGGCAGTAACACTCGTCCTAGCACACCCCTTCCATGCAACAAGGCACTTTCGGCTTTTCGAAGCACCTCGCTCGTAACCATTGGTTTCGAATTTTGTTCATCTTTAATGGATTCACCCGAGTTTATAATATCTGACATTTCATCGTCCCGCTCCCACTTAGACGGTGCTGGAAGAAGACTAGGCGAAAAAGAGGCTAAATTCACAGAAGAAACTGGATTCTCATCGGGATTCAATTCTAATGGATTCTCAACTGTGATTTGAACTTCCTTCATTTCTGAAGCAGTTGGATTTGGATCTTTTTCTGACTCCTTTTCTTTCTTCTCGTGGTGCTTCTTCTTCTTTTTCTTAGGCTCATCATCAGCTGTGTCATTCTGGGAGCCTTCCGAGTGCTGCGATGATCTACGCTCTTTCTTTTCTTTTTTCTTCTTCTTTTTGTCACGTTTCTTGGAATCTTTCTCGGTTTTGTACATGTCATCCAGTTTCTGGACGTCTGATTCATTTGGTTTATCTGATTTTGATTTAACGTTTGCCTGAGGCACATCATAAGGTTTGGGTCGTTCGTCAGACCGCTGCGTCTCCTCAATCTTTTGTTGATGTTGATCTGACTTACGGCTGTCGTCAACTTTGAACCGTTTTTCCGATTTGCCTTTTTCGTCATTTCTATGCCTCTCGTCTGATCTATACTTATCAACCGGCTTCTGTTTGCTATCGTGCTTCTTATCGTCAAGCCTGATTTTATCATCAGCACGAGATGGCTCCCGTTGATTTGAGCCGGATTTGTCACTTCTGATGACGCTATTTTCAGGAGTTCCGAGGCCGCGACGAGCGGTTGAAGCATCTCCTTTCTCTTTCTCCAATTTGTTCGGAATTGAACCATTGTTAACACGGTACTCAGGCTTACGATCAGACTCATCACGCGCATAATTTCGGTGGTTTCTGTTGTCTTTTGCCAGAGAGTGGTGAGCTTTCCTATCTCTACTCCTGCTTCGTGTTCGCTTCTCAGAGCTACGGCCTCGTCTATGAGCGTATCTTGGATTTGGGTGCTTCCGATCGAATGATTCGTCTATCAACTGCTCATTAGATATTTTCATTTTATCGCTCATGTCATTTTTTATTTTGGGTGACCCTTTAACAACGGTATGTTCAGAATAAGTACGAGTATCATCTCGACTCGGACTATACCGTCGGCCACGTGACCCATCTTCGCCATACCGACCACGATGCGTAGACCGAGACGTATCGCGGTGCTGACGATCGCGAGGACTCCTTCTGGAAGGCGACGCAGGAGACTTTCGGCCTTGGTGATTCTTCGATTCGAACTGGCTAGCACTAATGCGTTCTTTCGGAGAGCGTGACTGGTGCACGTTCCTAGTGTTTGTAGGGGGAGTAGAATGAGGCGACAGACGACGGGCTGAAACTGATCGAGGTGATGGTTCATCAAAATTAGAAGGATGATCCCCACGCTGTCGGTAGGCTGAACCAGGGGGCGCTCCTCTCGGCGGAACTTCACCTGGTCGTTCATTCCAGCGCGGATCGTCAGGCTCAAATGCCAGACGGTCTTTAATAGTCGCGCGTAGATCTCTCCTGTAAGATGAAAATTGTTCAATATTTCAAGAATTACATAAAGCAAAAAGTAGTACCTGATCTGCTATCAACTTATGTCGACATCCAGAATAAATGGAACTTTCATATTTACAAATATTATTGAAATAAGGTCATTTATCTCGTCCAGATAGGAATTGGGCAAGCTAAAATGTTGAAGTAATTGGATCGATAGAGAATAAGGTTTATAGCTGAATTTCATCCAAAAAGGCAATATTTTTGTATAAAATAACGAGCGAATAGAGGACAGAGTATTTACAAACACACGCTTCGAACAAGAGAACGTCTTCATGCGACGGATATTGTCAATCCTTGCAACGATCTGAATGGTCTGTTATAGCACAGATATTCCTTCTGTACTCACCTGTCCAAAGCAGGATCAGGGCGGTCGCGGGGCCTTTGCATATACGCCTCAGGAGGCACGTCGTCCACGGGCGGCCTGGAAGAACAAGTCAACAATTTTCAATGAATAGTTCAGCAAACCATCACATCTATAAATTGAACTTTTTTTGAAGATAAATTCTCAAGGGAAATCAAACGACGAGACTACGGATACTTTTCTAAGTTTAAAATCATTTGCATCGATAAGATAAATCAAAAGGCGGTAAGATATATATGATCATTCACAAAAGTCGGAAATAACCACTTTTTAATACAAGCAGTTGAAGATAAACCGGCAACACTCGCAGCATGATTTCTCCATTTACCAAGTTGCTCCCTTTTCATGAATATATTTTCAGAAAAAAAATATCAATGATAACAGGTGGGCAGACACACCCGCGACTAACGAACTCGTTCACCAGTAATTAGCCCAACAACGAGATTTACGAACAGTGCACTGGGATTTACTAACAGTGCACTAACTTACAAACCAGATATGCCAAGCCGAAGTGAAATCTGAAGCAAAAACGCACCTGAAGGACGGGGAGCCGTGATGCGGAGAGCCGCGGGCCTGATGCATGGCGCGGTGATGAGGAGGCATGAGGTGTGACCGAGACGGTGAGAACATCGAGCCGTACTTGCCGCGCACGCTGGGCGACCTGTAACCGCCATACAATCAAAAATAATTAGTATTTCTCGAATTCAACTCGCAAAAATGAACAGATAAAGTAAGAAATAAATTGAGATGACTTTACGGTCCAACATACAAAAAAAAATCTTTGATTTGTCATAAGCCTAAGTTCAAATTAATTGGTTAGATACAAACGTCAAGTAAGATCAGTCTGACTTCAAGCCGCAACGAAATATTCATCCAAAGATTATAACAGCATGAGTAAACTTAATATTCACTGATCAATTGAACATTAAGTGAAATATAAACTCCAAAACTGGTAACAGGCCAACTGAAAAAATTTGATCATTCGATTGTATCCTTTTGAGAAAATATGATGTATTAAAAAAATTCAATACATTCTTTGGATTTAGATTAATAAGATAATTTCAGGATCATAAAATTTCAACCTTACTATCAACATCCTCAGCGCAGAGTAGCGCGTTCAAAAGAAATGATAAATTATTCTTAATACGTGTCAAAAAATGAAGTCAGACTGGACGTAAAATATAAAACCAATAGCGAAGAATTATGAATTAATTATCCTTACTTTATTACTAAGATATTTTAATTTACTAAGTAACAAAAATTGCTTCGTATATCACTAGTAGAAGAAGGCTGAAAGGAAGGAGCAATGTTACGTGAAGAATCGGTCAAAACATTTGCAGCGTCAACCCAAGCAAGTGCTGTGTCAGCTCCAGGCACTTCCATCCGGTTGTTGTAGACCTCGGGTAGCGCGACCACTGGGTCTGCAGACACTGTTAGCGCGGCAACGGGGTCTACAGACACTTTGTTAGCGCGGCAACTGGGTCTACAGACACTTTGTTAGCGCGGCAACTGGGTCTACAGACCCTTTGGTAGCACGGACACTAACTCCGCTAGAAGACTGCCATCCAAGGAATTGTCAGGTGAGCACTCCAGGGGGTGAATCAAATGATCACAACCGATGACGAATACGCGCTTTACATGTTCATATACGGCAACATTAGTTGTAGTCATACAAGAGAAGGATTTCCGAGCAAACATTATTCATATTTTTCATTCAATTTGTACGTTCAAACTTTAACGTGGTGCGATATCACGTGTATTAACCATTTATTAAACTGAAGACAGCTGGCTCTAGCAACTATTTACCTAACCACAGACTTTGTTCCACGCTTTTGCATGCAGATGGTTGGTGGTGTTGTTAGGGAAGTAGAGTGTATAGCAGAAAAGTTTCTTCATAGTGCAAGTTTAATTCAGAAAAATGAAGATTTTATGCAGAAACGATCTGAACACAAAACAACCTTTGGCCATCGAATGAATCAGGGGAGCAATTGATGCTTCATTATCATTACAATTTGATGGACTTAATTAAAACTGCAAACTACAGGTTGTCGAGTCTACAGCGAAACTTAACTCAATGTTATTGATAGTAATGCCTCTTCAACTATTATAATTGGAAATTTTTTATGATAGAAAATAATTTTTTTATACCAAAATACGCGCAAATTTCGTGAACTTAAACGTAACTTCGAACGACAAAATTAGTTGCATTCTGTTGTAGCCCGATTGCCTGGCTTCACCAAAAACACCAACAAGCTCCGATTATTATTAATATTTATTAAAGGACACAAAAGCATAGAATTGCTATATTGAATAAATCAGTACGTTGTCGTGTAAGTTGGAGCTTCCTAGAAGGCAAAATTTGAGTATTACTTCAACAGAAGAGACGAGATGATAATTAAAATTTAAATGCTGGCAGTTGCAGATACTCAAATTGAGTTTCAAGAGCACTTAATTTTTAAGAAATTTCTCTAGTAGAGAAAATTGAACAACTAAATCTATATATAATTTTCTAAACCGATTATATAGTCAGACGGCTCATAATTGAGCAAAATTTCAAGTCTGGATTTAAGTGAACACTCACGGATAGATTTTCAAACGGACAAAAACATTATAGCCAATTTTTTCAAGAACTAATTTTTCACTCCAGTAAACACAGGACATGTGCCCAAGAAACATTTATGTGTTAGAATAATGTTGACGAAGTTAGTGATTGAGTGCCCTAAAATAATGAGATCAAAGTTTTAATTGAAGTAGTCACACTACAGGAACTGCTGTCGTTTGTACGCTTGATTCAATTTTGAAAATATGATTTTTAGTATTACTTGTATTGAGGAATCAACTAGTTTCGTAGCTGCCTGAGCGTGTATGAAAGAAATTGAGGGCACAATTAGAATCACATAGCGACACTAGGAATTCCCTAATCTAGAATTTTTGAAGCGTGAGTAATTATGCAACAAGGTTGACCTCGATTCCACCGAACTTCTTTCTAATTGTCAACTGGCATTGAGTACTACAGACGAAATTATTTTCACCGACAAAAATGTCATTAACTCTGCAAGGATGAAAACCCCAAATTAATAAATTTGACACGCTACATCATAAAGAATTGTTCAATTAAATGACTTCATAATAGATATTATAAACCTTGTAAGATAATGCATTTGAAGGGAATGGGGGCTTAAAATTATTTTCTCCAGTTAATGGTAACATTTGGACAGGGAGAGAAATTAATAAAATTATTACAAAAAAAAATCGTAGTGAAAAGAAAGGACAAAGTACATAAAACTGAATGAAATGAATAAATATTCCTTGCGAGCGTTAAATTAAAACTATTAAGCACACACAAATCAAGTTTTTCCAGCTTCATCAATTTATTTATTCCGAATAAGTTGTCGCGGGATTCAAATCTTCTCATTTTTAATGTCATTAGTTAGGTCTTATTCAATTAAAAAATTTTGAAATAGATACAAGGTTCTCTCCCAACCTCATTTTCTCGCCAGTTTTGCTCGTTCATATTTAAGGTGAATTTCAAATAGTTCATGAAGTTCATTCTGGAGTCGACATAATTGTTATAATTTCGTACTATGTACGCGGCACCGAACCAGATTTACAGGTGAAGTCTGCTAAAATACGCGAGAAATCCATTTTTCTGGGGTTAGCATAGCACAATTTCGCATGCAATTTGTATTTGTAGCATCACCTTTGCTTGAGGCTTGAGCTCAACGATGATACACGAGGGATGGTGCAAAATATACTGAAGAGCCCAATCTTCAATCAAGCAAGTTAAGTTTTCGTCGAGCTAACAAAACAATGGAGCCTTCATCATTATATTCATGTTTATAAACTTAAATAACATCCTTTATCTTTCCACTTGAAAACCTATTAGCTGTCCATTTTGTGCCAAAAGTCAGGACATCAACTTTGCAATTAGCGAAGTAAGAGCAAAGACTGAAAGGTACGTGGCGCTTCCACTTTTCTTACACAAAATTCTGTCTACCATTTTTTAGCCTATTGAGAGATATCCAGGACAATTGAAAGAATATTGTAAAGAAGATTTTATTGCGACGGTCATGATACAGTAAAGTGGTTACTTCGCTCCACGGCAAACAAGAGGTACGAACAGAGAAGTAACTTAGGCACAGGCAATTATGACTGCACTACGCTATGACTAAATTTCAGGATGCAAACATCGTAAGTTATATGTGTAGTCTTCAAAGCATTCATTTCCTTAGCCGAGACGATTGTAAGTCATTCCTAAGAAATTAATTAAGACTAATTGCAAATCTATTAAATAAAATACCACAATGACTCTTAAATGCCAGTATTATTTAGGCCAATGGCCTCCCTTCACAGCCAGTTACTCTTAAAAGATCACAGATCAGATCTCGTACGATTTATTTGAAATTTGAGATCACAATTGAACGTTATTAATAATAAAAATTTTATTTCCCTAAATATTATTCGAAATGTTCCTTAAATATTATAGTAACATCAACTCTTTTGAGTTATCACAATTGCAATTCTTGCACAGTCTTGCACAGCTCGAGGCTGAGCAGCACGTAACGTAAAGAACTCGACCCGTTAATTCCCACAAAGATCACTCAGCCCCTCTTATGCATAAGCCACTAACCTGCTGCGGGATTGCGTCCTCAGCCGGTCGCGATGGCGTGCCTCGGGCGTAGCCCCCGGCTTCTGATGGCCAGGTGAAGACCGGCGACCTCCAGGAGAGAAACGGCGGCGCAGCGGAGAGTTCATGCCTCGTCTCAATGACGGTGGAGAGTTCATGCCTCGTCTCAATGACGGTGGGGAATTCATGCCGCGTCGAAGGGATGGCGAGGAATTCCCACCACGACGTAATGACGGCGGTGAATTGAGACCGCGACGATGCGACGAGGGGCTGTGATGGCGACGAGGGCTGTACGGTGAGCGGCTTCTGGACCAACGATATCGTCGGGAGCGAGGGCTCCTGCTGAAGCTGCGCAGGAGTCTATCAGACGGAGACCTTGTTCTCGAGCGGGACCAGTTGCGATGACGGCCATAAGAGGGCGATCTGTTTCTGCGCATTTGCTCCCGCCTTTTACGTTCGTCCTGCTCCTTGAGATGCCGCTCGAAGGCAGCAAGGGGATCATCGATTACTTGATCAGGGGCAGGCAACCATGGCGCTAGAGGTTGCTGGGGGAGCATCCCGTAGCCGGGAGGAGGTACGTTGAAATTAGGAATGTGAGCCATGGGAGGATAGAGAGCATCTGAGCCGGGGTAGGCATATGAAGGAGCCAGGTTCTGGTTCACTGGCACGTTCAGAGCAACGTTGAAGAGGTCAGACGTGCTATCATTCCTCTTCTTGTCAGGCCGCGGGCTAGCGCTGCTGGCGCTTTCGGAACTTCGGCTACGTTTCCTTCTTCCAGTTGCAGGAGAAGCATCTGTGTTGCTATCTACTTGAGTGCCAAGGAAATTATCCGACATTGCAGAAGAATCATCTTTTTTGTGATTTTTAGACCGTTTATGTTTATCTTTTTTCTTCTCTTTATCTTTACCGTTCTTTTTCTTCTTTTCTTTCTTTTTCCTATTCTTTTTGACTTTCTCGCCTTTCTCGCTATCGATGTCACTATGTGAGGGGACCTTGGGAGAATTTCGTTTGCTTGCAACCTCTCTTTCATGTTCCTCAACATCCTTGAGGAGCTCGCGGTAAAGCTCGACAGGTTTTGTGTCAATGGCCTCAGACTTGGAGCTGACTGTCTGGGATGGTAGTCGGACACTCTCTGTATATCTGGGAGCCTTATTACCTGAATCCATAGCGCCATTTTCTCGATCTGTCTTGGGGCTATCTCTACTCCTAATTGCGTCTTTTCCATTAGTCTGTTCAGTAACTGCAATGGGAGTTTTATTCTTGTCTTCTTTTTCGTCTTTATTAACGGGACTATCACGAGGAGTAGGCTGTTGGGAAGACCTGAGGTGTGGAGGTAGAGGTGTTACAGATGCAGGTGGACTCAGATATAGTTTTTCGTATGATCTAATATAGTTGCCGTTCGTAAGTTTGTCGAATTCGGCTACTTTCTTCCGAAGATAACGATTGGGGATGAGGTTACCAATGCTGACATCGCTCTCTAGGCATTTGGGGCACTGGTTATCGTCTGACTCGATAAGATGATTCCGTATACCTGGTGGATTAAAGAAAGATTAGTATCGCAAACTACGTAAAAACAGGAGGTAAATTATACTAAATGACAATTTTAGCGTTCAAGAGGATTCTTAACGACACTTCTAACCCAAACATTTCAACATCCATTAACTGAGATCAATAATAAAACCCGTTGGTTTATTTTTTCCAGCTAATTCCGATCATGATACATAGGCCAGGAGGTAAACATAACTAAGATAAAACACAACACGCGTTCGTTAACAGGCAGAAGACTTACATTCATCGCAAAACTTGAGCGCACAGCAAGGTACGAGCACAGCATCTTTGAGTAGTTCCTCGCACAGACTGCACTTGAGATCTTCAGGTATAGGCAGACGTTCGGGCTCTTTTTCGTGTACTTGTGGCGTGATAGCCTCACTGAAATACAAGGATAATCGTTACAATTTAATGGAAAGAAAAACAATACACAAAAAATAACTGAGAACGTTACTAGAGCTCATACCTATCAGACACTTAATTACTAAAAAAGTTCTAAAGAACTTCAGAAAATATAACGAAACGGAGTTGCTAAAAAAACGCAGCTAATTGCCGATATAAATAAAAAAATTTGAAAACTAGAGCTCATACCTATCAGACACTTAATTACTAAAAAAGTTCTAAATAACTTCAGAAAATATAACGAAACGGAGTTGCTAAAAAAACGCAGCTAATTGCCGCTATAAATAAAAAAATTTGAAAATTAATTCAAGTTTTACCATGGCGATCAATATATTTTGGCAAAATGATTTGGTAAACAGTAATTTGAAACATCTTAGTCATCGACATTTGTATCTTGCAGTATCTATATGGAAAGAAAAGATCCAAAGCTATTTCATGCGTGTACTCACGGATTATTTTTATAGATGACCAAGTTGCCACGAGCTGTGATCATCACGCCAGGAATGTTGGGATCATTCACTCTGATAAGCTGATCGCTGGGAATACCGTAGCTCTTGCGCAAATCATGCTGTAATCAGAAAAAAACTCATGATGAAATTAAAGTTATTCAAACACACACTTCATACTATTACTATATTTCGAACAGGCAATTATTTACATTCGATATAAATGCACATGGTTCATTTTGCCGATGCAATGCAACACTATCTCGTCACGTAAATTTACATGGTTTGACTATTAAAAATATATATATATATATATATAAGTAGATAAGAATATCACTCACATTACTGAGAGGACAGTTAGCGACCCAATGTCCACCCTTGGAGCACTTGAAGCACGTGTAGCTCACAGGAACTTTGCCGCTCATTCTGCTGTTGCGGAGTTTGACGTAACGCGAGGGATGATAGTCCAGAGTGGACTGTGCCATCATGGCATTAATACGGTCCTGCTCCGTGCCAGCCATTTTTGTCAGATCCGTCACCTGCGAAACAAATACAAATGAAGTTTTACTAGATCTACTACTAGATATAAAATGAACTGTGCATAACATTCAATTACTGCAGGTTATTTCACCAGAGGACACTGATTAGTTTGTCGATTTTAAATACTATTCTGGATGCTAAATATATTTAATCTGGCAACTTAGAATAGAATTTAATCTGGCAATAGAAATCTTACCTGCATTGCTAATCTGCTAAGGCGGATAGCTTCAGCAGAATCTTCGGTCTGGAAAAAAAGTAAATAATATACGTTAAAAGTTGCTGTCGAAAATTTTACTGAAGAACCACAGCAAAAAAAAAAAAAACGATCGCAAATAATTTTATACCTCCAATCTTTGATATAAACCGGAGTTTTCATCTGGAGCGATGCAGAACATTACAAGGGAACAATTTCACTCACCTTTTTACTCCGAATGATCAGGTTAAATAGCTTGTCTTTTTCAGAACCTAATTAACTGGAAACGAACACAGACAACTTTAAGTGTATCAAATGGTTAACTAGGAATGTATTATTTATCAACAGCGTTAGTCGTTCGACGAAAAAAGCACCACCAAGGTGGAATAAACTCCACGCGAAGTGATCAAGATCGCCGTATCATACTTGCTAGCGATGGGATTCGGGTATGAAAAAAGAACGACTTCAGAGAAACCGCGCATTTACGATTCAATTCGAAACATTTTTATTCGTGGGATCAAAATACATTACTCTGAGTTCTTTACGTTACACTAAGCGTTAGAATTACTCTTATGTACACACGTTTTAGAACAGGGCACGGAGTAGCGAATTCTGTGATGAGCGCAAATTTTTGTATAATGGAACAATAATGAGAAAGAAATGATCGACCAACTAAATTCAGATGGAGATAATTAGATAAACAAGTTCAGATAAACAAGATAATTCAGATAAACAAGTCAAGATAATTCAGACAGAGGATGAATGATGCGAACCAAAATGAAGAAAACTAATGACTAGCATTAAATTTGGCCGAAACTAGATTCGCAGAAAGAACATTTTTTTCGGCTGTTTCATCGACTTACTGATCTTCACATTGAGATCCCAGGACTAATTCCATTTGGAAGAGATCAGTCACAATCAAACCTGTACGCTGCCACAACTTGGTTTCGTTTGACAGCATATAAATAATTTCACATTGATACAAGCAGACTGATATCTCATGGAAACGACGAACGTATCTCCCTTAAATGCCCAACTTGAATGATCTTGATCTTCATTGCAAGTACTTCGAGCCTGGTCAAGGGTTCAACTCCCGTCAATGTGATGTTTGACACGAAGTGAACAACCGAGCAGCAAATGAAACTCTAACCGTACAGTAGTAATCGTTTCAACTTGCTTTACTAGAGTACAAGAGCCAAATACGTCGAAATATTGGACATCTTCGTCGTTTTAATTCAAGTAATCGTAAAGGTCGAGTCATTGTCTGAAGCAGTAATTAATTCATGACCATAACAATGGCATGAACCGAAGAAGTTTTCTTACTAACTCGATGGAATTCGAATTTCTTCTGTGCCCTATAGGGCCAAGTAAACTCGTGGCTATGGTACCTTTTCTGTCAGGGACAGGATTAATTAAAGAGAATTCATACGACAGATCCTTAATTTATACATATTTGGTATCTCAAACTTAAAAATTTACTGCACTACATAGATTGCGCGGCTCGTTGCATAGGCATTTTACCTTCCGAACATCACAATGTTCCTGCTAAACGGTCAGTAGCCAAAGCGTCAACCCCCATTCATTCCTCCCGAGTAATTGCACCACGTAACCGCGAGAAGACGCGTCAGCCACACCCATGAAATGCTCCGTTGACAGTACAATAAGTTTCCAGAGATTACCTATACACAGTATTTTACGGTATCAGAAAACACTTCACTAATGGTAATAATAATAAAAATAGAATGAAAAAATCCTTACTAGCTCTGCACTACCGGTAATTTCGCGCCGGAAGGCCTGAATCATCAGGAACAGAAACAAAGACTGCGTTGGTGATTAGTAACAAACGAAGACGGGGTTGGTGATCAGTAACAGAAACGAAGACGGGGTTGGTGATCAGTAACAAACAAAGACGGAATTTATGAAGAAAACCCGATACGAAGAGGTTAAAGAGCCTTAGTAGAGACGAAGGAGACAGATGAACGAGCAATAAAAACGTGAAGCAGAAGAGAGGTCCTCAGTAGTAGACGAAGACGGGATTGATGAAGAGCAATAAGAGCGAAAAGACACGACAGGCGTGCACGACTCGCACGGAAATAGGAAGTGCAAGAAATCCAACCTACATTATATCGCACAACCGAAACGTACCGCAGAAACGCAACAAAGGCTCCCTGGTGAATACTCCAGGAAACTTAGAAAATATGTGCCACGTTAATCTCGTTTTGCTACAGAATTGAGCTTCGTGAATACCAAAAAAATCCATCTGGCGTGAGGAGTTATGCTCGTAGAGTGCCTTTTGTTAGAGCCAAAAGCATTGGTTTGTTGTTGCAAAATAAAGACTCCTCAACGACGAAAATCGGTGACCTTAACATTACGGCCGACCTACAACCCTTCTCACCGTGCCAGCTAGGAGAAGCACCAGGGGATTTCTACATTGCATATGCGACGAAGTTGCCGGTTTCAATTGCGAATTCTTCAAACATAACATACAAATTCTGGTCCATACGCAAAAGGTTTCCAAAAAAATCGCCAAGATCGTTCGGAAATCGGAAAATGGCCATCTAATCATCTATTGAGTTTCGTGACCATCAAGTCTCCACAGGTCAGATTCCAGACTAGGTTCATTAAAACGCCGATTCAAGTTTTCATATTACTAGAACTAATGTTTACCACATTTCATGGAATTTAGTTCATTCTAAACAGCATTATTTGTTTTCGAATTTGGCTAATAATAAGCTAATCTTGATAGTCTGACATGCGTACAAAAAGCCAGATCGAGATACTAGGCTACATCTCTTCTAATAGCCTACGTCGGGCCATAAATGGTGAATACTGTGGGCGCCGAACGAGCTTCGGTAGGCCGGAACCCAAATTCCAGCCAGAGTCCTCTTTTTTTCAGCGCAGCAGGACCAGGTAGTTAGTTCTTGGCAGAGATTACGTTAGCGCAGGGACGATCCAAGTGATGGACGTGGGATCCAAACGGAAGACGTGCGAAAGAGACGAGACGGGGGCCACACTCACGCTAAGAGGCGTGAAGGGCCATAGGGAAGGAAAGACAGACAAGAAAATCTTGAGCAAACTGGAGGCCTCGGCACTAGGGACAGGTGACGCTTGAGGAATGCTTGTACGGACTGTGGCACCCCGCCGACGCACGACTTCTTCAGAAGCAATCGAATGACGAAGAGAAGTCAGGATCTTGTTTTCGGCGATCTTCGCGGTACGACAGGAAATCACTGGTAAAGGCCCCACCCCATTAGAACCGGCAGGCGTGCTGCCATTTACTTTGGAGAGGATTTCAGTGTTGCAAAATCAGGGTTGAACGGAAGCTTCCACCATACAAAGCTGCATAGATTGCGAACAAGCTTGGTCCAGGCACACAGACATGGCAAGAACGCGCGCGGGTGCAAGCCACGCGAGGACGGTGCGTGATGCGAGATCTACCAGAAGAAGAGGCACCAGAATTTGGCTAATGATGGTGCTGTGGAGGGCAATGATTGGGCAGTGAAGTCCTTCTTGGAGAGGCCCCGGTTGGTGCTCGGCAGGTATTCTAAGAAGCGTCGGGTTCTAGCAGCCTTGACGGCAAGGGCTTCGAGGGGAGATGAGCGGTGGCCATCCGCGAGTAGGGATAAAGCCGTTGGTGGATGGGTGATTGCAGACGTTGCGATGAAAGTAGCGGAGATGAGATGGGACGAAATGGTCGCAATGGAGTCCACTTGCAGGATCTGCTACACAACGAAAGCTGTCTCGAGGTTCCTATCCACAGTTTGCCAAATTCCATAAACTATTTGCCAGAATCACTGGTCGAGTCTTATGCCCTTTCTTCCATTAACAATTGTATTCCTTGCCAGTCTGCACTAGGTACAGCCATTTGTTACGGATACTCGACTGATAAAGACTTGGTCATAATTACAACAATGGTCGGGAAATAATCATCATGGTCAATCTCCGCAAAGTCCGGGACAAAAATCGATGAGTTTCGGCGCTCAGATTTTCGATGACATGATAAACGTCCCGAAGAATAATTAAAAACCGAAAACATTTAATAACTTCCGACAGTGAGTCAATAAGAATCATAGAGCATCAAAATTGTCCATCGCAGAACGAGGCGTTATATTCACTTGTGCCGATCCAAGGGATGAAAAAGTAACTTTTTTCATCTTCAGCGTACCAGTCGTAGATATGACGTGTAGTCGCGATCTAGTCGTGTAGTTCAACAAAAAAAAAAACTATCCAAACGGATTACTCAACCTGTTCATAATATATAGGCTGAGGCGTCAACATAGTGGAAATAGTTATCACAGAGGTAGATTAGGCTTTATCAGTGAAGACTAGACCGACAGATGCCTTCGATCACCAAATTCGGTGTTCGTGTCAGGGAACTAAATAAATACGATGCGTGTTCATTTCAGGTGCTTTTCTTGAGGGGTTGATGAGATTCTGTTTACTTTGATCGGTTAACTTGCAACTGCGTTTGGAAAGAGAAGTAGAGTTGACGTATTGCGATCCATTGTCCTTGGCCTAATCAATATTACGGACGACCGCAGTGCTTCATAAAATTGAACCTTTCGGTCCATAAGATGCAGTGGATCAGAGACCTATCAATGGGTCGAATTGTGTAATTGCTACGAATATTTCAGGTACAAGGAAATGTCTTTCAACTACCCGGTAAAGGTTAGTTGAAAAATAGGGCTCTGATATTTCATGGTAATTATAAGCAAACAAATTTCTCAGAAATTGATTAAACTTGAAATCCACATCCAATTAAAAATCAAACCTTAGAATGCGCAGGGAAATAGCGACCAAATTATTGACGATAAGCATTAAGCAGCAGCTGCACAGACGCTAAATCAAATTTTCAACCATCTATTATGGAAGAAAATAAATGCGGTAAATAAATCATTTCTTCTCCTAGGGAACAATTTACGAGTCGCCTGTATAGGTCTCAAGAAGAGATGATGGATTATCGCCACCCTACATCAGAAAATATTGTAATACCTCGCGTCATTCTAGAATTTTACCGTACACCAACGAACAAGCACTATGCAAAGTTTAGGTGTCAGAATAAACACATCCACCAAGCTCGCTAATTGGAACATTTTTGGTAAATTGGGGCCTATTGTAACTAATCATACAATACATTTGGTATCGAACCACCTTAGACGTGTTTAATAACTAGACGAAAGTTAATACCTATAAAATTAACAACAATGCCTAAAAGAACAAACTCAGTACAATATTTTTGAACAAAATTCGCCTTAAAAGTACGAATACAATGCATTTTCATCGTTAAATAATACGAAGTAGTGAACATTGAAGGAAACAAGATCTACATAAATTACACAAATTATATAAATTATGGAGAGCACTCATTCACAGAACATACATCCACGACAGAACTAAAAATTTCTGTCAGAAACTGGCATTATTTTTCTTGAAGATATTACTTTTTGTTTCAAACAGCCGCAGATAAGTCTCAAATCTTGGATCCGGCGAACTAAATCGTCTTGAAGTCAAGAAAGTAGCTAGACAATATCGTGAATTTACTGGGGACTTCAATTTCTCATAAGTGGTCAAAAATAGCTTCAGAATATCTAACCTGCAAATTTAAAGAGATCCTCATTCTCTAATTCGTTGAGTTTTGAAGTAAAGTGAAACAATAATTGAGAATAAAATCAGTGAGTTCAAGAAGCTTCTTTCTCACATCCAAGTTAGTATCAATACTACCACGGTCATTTATATGACGACCAGCACGACGTAAGTCGCACGCTCGCTACTTACAGAGCCAACTTTCACTCTCTCAAGACTTTCACTGCTCACTGATCTTAAGCGTTCGACACTCGATGACCTGAGTATCATGTTGCACAAACGCTGACTGATCGGTCGTAAGGAAAGTAAGCGAGTCGTCCAAAATAAGGCATTTAATGAACACACCAGCAATGAACACATCACTCGGGAAGATAGTTAGTTATTCAGAGCATGGATATTGAGCACTAAATTGAGTAATGTTCGACTCGTAAAAATACTAATCAATACTCTTAAATTTACTTAAATAAGCTATAATGCGCGCTACAGAATCTGCTCAGTTGACGAGTCTCCAGCATTGTAGTCGTGGAAATAAACAGACAATAAAATTATCGGTAATCTGCTCGTATTTCGAAGTATGGCAGTAACTTGGTGCTCAAAATGGAGCCATCGTAAGAAAAGCCAATAAATTTTTCTGACATGAAAATTAATGTCGAAAATATGACAGAACAATTCATCAAGCCAGAAACCTCGTTACATTTCAAGCTTTCAACGAGGTCGCTCTCTAATGAGAACAAATAGGAAAGTGTATAACTGTACGCATTGTTAACTTTGAATTGCGCATAATTTGGAAATCGATCTTAAAATTTTTTCATATCATTGATTGATCTTATATGATTTTTATATACTAGTTTTACTAGGAGGGCTGTTCTCAATTCAAGAGAAATAGGAACGCGTTATCAATCCAAGAAAAGCTGAGAACTTTCTATTGTGCCTTGAATACAGTTATAAATGATTACTGTTTTAAATAGAATTCTGTTGTAGACAGACAACAAGTAAAGGAAAGGCAACTCTTTGATCAGATAAGTTTAAACGTCAGTTTAGCACTTTACGGAACAAATACGCTACTAGCGATCCAGCAGGTATCCAGTTCGTACATAGTGACGTTCAATCTGGAAGCCATTGGAACATAATTTTTTTGTCTCAACCTAAGACAAACTTGATGGAATATCAACTCCACTGCACCTAGATGAAAATTCTCACGAATCTAGGCTCAATTCATGGGAGCTTCCAGATTTAGCTACATCATCACGAGCTGCTAGTCATTGGCGTTCAGTTAAATACAATGAACATGCGAACGCAGAGCGCTCCACTACATCATCATACCACTCGCCGCACACGCGCTTCAGCCTGGTGCAGCGGAGGCAAGCAGCAATGTTCTTGCCGCTGAGGTACCTACATTCATGAGGTTCGCAGGGTTTGCCAGCAGGATCTCTGTTGACTCCTTCAGGTGGTTGTTCCTGCAACACACAACACCGTGAATATCTTGTTTTATGTATACTTTGAACTTTTGACTGCATTTCGCACAACCAACTTCAGAATTTACTTCGTCTCATCACTCCTCAAAAATTAAAGTGCATATTAATGTTAAGAAAATGGGAGCACCTCTTAACAAATTACAGCATTCAAAGCAATACTCTGCTTGACAGGTTAACCAGGAATCTATTGTTCCTACATGCTAAACTAAGAAAACAAGTCTCAAGATAACTTACAATACTACATTGAGGTGAGCCACGCATCAAATGGAACCTTTCGTTTGCGGGCATTCTAGCAAGTCAATCAAACATTAACGTACTCATCTTACAGGTATCCAATTGAAAAAAATGTAAATACGTCTTAACCAAAATTTTGACACAATTAACATCCACCACCTGGCTGAACAATTTTCTACATAGATTTGTCCCAGCCATTTTGTATCACTTCTATAACGCTCTATCAGTAATTAGTAGTATTAGCTACCTTATTTATGCATATGTGCCCGCAAAAGCTGATAATTAGCATATAAACATGTATTCCGTTAGATTTTGATTGTAAACCACTGGCTACAGGTGGGTGGAAGGTGACTCAAGTTATCAATAGGTTTTTCACAATAACAAATAGAACCATATTAGAGGCTTAGAGCACAAGAAACGATCTACACTATCGATGTAAAAGTTGGAGAAGTAACGAGTGGATGGACATGCAGCATCAGAACATGTACACTTGCAGGGCACTTGTTCAAATTTCTCTAACAGCTGCCAGTCTCTCACACAAGTCTCTCCTAAACCAGGCACAAACAACGCATTATGCAAGCCATATCATCACTAGATTAAAATCAATTTATACAAGGGGTCAAGTGACTTGCAAGAATTAAGAGAAATTGAGGTACTCACCATGGCCGCTTCAGCTGTGCTGGGTCGATGGGAACTCGAGCGACCAGCAGAGAAGAATTCTTGGGAATGAGGGCCTTCTCATCCTTGTATTCTGTGGGAAAGAAAGTTTGTTTGAATAGCCTGAACAAGAGCCATGACTTCAAATTTTCATCTTACTACAAACTAATTGCAACTGAAAACACTCGACAACCATTTTTGAAATAGCTTTATATTACGAATTCTGGCCTTTGGTGAATACTGAGCAAATGTAATTTGCATCAATCTAAACAATTAACATAATTCCGGTTTTTCTTTCTGAATCAATAGCTGGTACATGAAGCATAAATTTGAATAATAGAAACTCTGGTCTTCAATGAAACCTGCTTGAAAGAAGAAATTCTGCCAACCTATACTAATATATATATAGACTTGATATACAAAATATTTTATATAAAAGACTACTACAATTATAACAATTAGCGATTTATTTTGCCGGAAGCTGGCTGAAAAAAAAATAAAACACTTGAAGAGTAATTACATTTCATGAAAACCTAAAACAAGCATCACTTCAGCTAAACACAAGTCAATTACCAACAACATCAAGCTTTAATACAACATCAAGCTTTAATAGAGCAAGAAATCTCTGTAGGGCAGAAAATGTTCTTAGTAAAAGTAGGATTGGTAGCAGTAGGATTGCTCACCTTGATTAGTCTCAGCATTAGTGATGATGAGGTCAAAAGGTTGTGATCTGGAGAGTTTCTTCTGTTCAATTATTGCCTCCTTGAGGTCCTCAACACTGATGTTGACTCCATCAACTGGCAGAGTTGAATACTCAAGAGCTGACTTAAATTTATAGTGGACAGACATTTTTTCTGGATATCTACACAGTAAGATGCAAGATAGGCAAAATCATCAAATAACTTTCTCTGAAACCTGGAATAAAAAAGAAAAGATCATTAGTCAATGTAGCAAAAATTGTTTACAAATGTACAAATCTCAAGAATTCACTCAATACCAAAATGAGATCAAGCAGACAGGAGACTTCCAGTTCAGAGAATGCTGCAAAAAATGAAAAAAAAAACTGCAAGAAATTTCATTTTCCAAACAATGCAAGAATGCCTTATTATAAGAAACGACTGAGGCACGCATAATAAACACAAAAGCATTTAAAAATAAACGTACATAAAAAAACAATGACAAAATTAAATGAAACCATCAAAGTCAATCAATCAAAAAAGTGATCTAGAACTCAACAAATACTAGGAGAAGATAAAAGCTGTCACTCTCAATCAATTGACTTGTGTTGGCATCTTTGACAATTCTTGTTTTATTCCTGATAAAAGTGTAGACATAAAATATTGACCATCATTGATTAGCTTGCATTCAATTACAGTAGTTTTTAGGTGCCAAGTGACAAAATGTTGAGAGCTTGAGGACCAGCCATAATGCATTAACCATCAATTAGCTTTTATACATAATTTAGCACAGTGAATTTGTAAATCAAGGATGAAAAATTTTCCATCAAATCTTGCCGGTCAAAATATTTTGTTACAAACCATATATAAAAACAATAGTACTTTTAGTAGCAATTCACATGACTGGAAAGCATGCAGGGAGTACCCAACTTTCTGCTTGGGGTATTTTTCAAATATTCACGGCTTCAAATCTTGGGAATGACAATGTGTACAGCACAATGAAATTATTGGTGAATGTTAGAGATGTGATAATTTAACAATATAACCAAGCTTGGAATTTTGCAGACCATTGTGGATATAGGTTATATGTTCCTGCCATACATGGTAGAATTTTTTTTTTTTACCAAAATGCAAAAATATACCATCACATGTCAATGCAAGTGAAGAAAGATTTTTTCTAGGGTAAAGTCTTACACTTGGCATTATGTGTACATAGCTTGGTAAAAATAAGTCTGTTTCTCAAAAATTGCTTTTGACAGCCTTGAAGAGGGATTTATAGCTCAAAAATTCATCATGCCATGGACAGTTGCACACAAGACTTTTTTTTTTACCTTCCCTATGACTTAATGGATGTATACATGTATATAAATGACATATCCCTAGTATTTATCCACAGAATATTGAACAAAATTATTGATAAGGTCAGACAATGACAAATGAACTAAGTAAAATATCCTTTATTTACCACTGGGATACAGTGGAAAACAAGAGACTTCAGTTTTAATTTCAAAAGTTGTGGCAAAAAAGTGCCTCATTTCTTATTTCAAACTGAAAAAATTGAGGAAAGGTCATAGAAACCAGTGAAATTTACTGCATTAATGGGCGTTTTCATCTCATTTACTGATGGCTTTTTAGAAATAGCACAGCACCACATGCACCAGTATTTACCTTTTACATCCATTGGTTATTGTAAATAACTCTGAAGTAGATCAGGCAATTATTATTCAACCAAGTCTAAAAATTATTGTTTGTCACGACAGGCTCAGGGCAGATGTTTTCCTCACTAGCCAGGGACCAGAGAGAGATAATCCATCACCAATTGTGCACTAACTTCACTACTCCAGAAACTGCAGAAATGCTCTCGACAAAGCTCAGAAAAGTTATATTGCATGCCTTGCTAATATCTTTTGTACAACTTCAAGACCAAACTGAAATGTTGCACGTGAAAATGTGACTAATTATTATGGCAGAAATCAAGCAAGGGCAACAAAAACCAGTGAAAATAACCGCAAGCACTCTCACCTATTTCTAGAAAATTCTGCTTGATACTGCAGATTGGTACATTTTAAGCCAGTGACTTGTAGTGGCAAACTAAATATTTTTTGGACTAGTTCATTTCTAATTTACAGATCTATCACCAGCTTTCTTCAATATCTATTGTATATTAATGCCTGTATCAATAATTCTTGGGCTACAAATAGACTGTATGATCCTGCCATAAGAATGAAAATGTAATAAAATTCAATTACTTTAGAGCCAGAAGATTTCATTCAAAAGTAGGAAGATTCCAATCTAGGCCTTGCCTAAATGCTTTCATGGAGATATATAAATACAGCATACTTTTTGCAGATGTCAATGAGAGAAATAAGTTTAAGAATGTGGGTATGACAGTACAAGTGAAGAGTGAATTGTAATGATTGTGGGTCTGTCCGAGCCTGAGGCAGCAACTGTGGGCTGTGGCTTTGTTTGCAAAGTGTGACAAGATATTTGAAGAATGTATGCAGGAAGAATGTATGAGGAGGATGATAAGAGTAAGGTCTTGAAGAGTGGAGGGTAGAGAGATCCTGAGAAGGAAGGGTTAGAAGGCAAAGGAGACACTAAATGTTTTAGTACATATGTTTATGTTTTTTCGACATTGACATATGTCAATGTTTTTTTAAGATGTTGACATGCATACCTGAAGGTTTTGATCTTATAGGATTCTAGTGAATACTAATGAGTTGCAATTTTTAACTGCCAAGTGTGGCTCAACTTTCACTTATTCTCTTATGCTAATAATAGATTTTAATGCAATGTGAATGACCAAAATAAAAGTCTTGACTGGAGTTAGCATGCCAGGATGGAATTCTTAAAAAAGTTTATACATTATTTTCAATCCACCTCTACCAGTTTTTTGAACCAAAAATGGAGTCAAGATAGAAAAGATAAAAATAGGAGGGAATAAAGTTACACATTCATTAGCAATTCATCTATAAGTAAAACACAACAAATCAACATTTATGAATCAATAACAAATCATGCCTGCAAAAAGAGTTGCAAATGATGCACTGCAGAAGCTATTTTGCTGGGGCAAAAATCTCATACACGCTCACACAGTAAAAGCAAACAACCAACTGCCCTTTTTACAATACTTCTCTTTAACTGCACTTCTTGCTTGTTTGTCTGTCTGCTACAAATCTTATAATCAATATTCAACACACTTCTACCTGTCCAATCAATCTCTGAAATTTTGAACACTTGTGTAAAGTTGGGTACCGTAAAATGGGGTTACTTTGACCGGCACCTAACGACATTGTATTCTTGAGCATACAAAGCCAGAAAACCAGCATTGAACTTCTATGTAATATTAAGTTACTACTATGATGTCCATGTAAACTCCAGTAACTGAGCCTTGTTCCTAAAAATTAGGTTTGAAATTAATGCCAAATTAATTAATGCCTAATCTAAGCACTGATGTTTAACGTTCAGTCTCATTGTAATTAACAATTCCGATCATTGTTAAGAAACTTGTACACATGACACTGATGCGTTGACCCACATATTAGCTTTGCTTTATATTAATGAAGCGAGGACGCTTCTACAGCATAGGGGGGACATGTCAGTTTGTGATGTCATTAGTGACTATTACGTCACCTTCTGTGACGTCACCATTCGCAGGTCACCACGTATATAAGCTCGGTGAGCAGACTGCCAAGGCGGTATTATCGAAGCAGGGCAGTGTTGGTCTCCAACAAGCAACCCGCTTGAACGGCGTTTCTCTTTTCCCTTTCAAACGGCATTCCTCTTTCAAGATCTTCTGATGAAACATCTTTTTCAATTTCTATACGTTGATAAGAAGTTTGAGTCCCAGATTAAGAGAAAACAATTTTAACATGAATTTAGCATTGTGGGTAGTTTCTATTCTCATTAATTTTTGAAGTGTGACAAACAAATAGGTCTTCCATCACACTTTTTTCCATTTGAATTAAAAATAAATGACGTGCATTCTGAATGTATGTATGGCCTAAGCATTCGTAAACATTTTGAGCTTTTTATAAGATGTTTATCGTCACAAATGGATTTTTGCCTAGAATCACACAACGCATGTCTTAAACTGCTCATTAAAGAGTCCTCATGTTATGGATTTTTCATTTCTTAAATTATATTACCGTAGTTGTTGCAATAAGGTAGCCTTCTCAAGTTTTTCTGTTTGAGCTTGTATTTCATTACAGGTGAACCATTTTTGTTCACTGGTTAGTCAAAACATCTTAAAAAGTGTTTCATGAACTTTGCATGTTTCACTCATTTTTTCTTTATCATTCCATAAAAATGTTAAGTCCGCAGTTTAGTACCACGCTCACCTCATACTTGCAAACCTATATCCTATATTATACTGTGACAGCAGCAAGAATGTTATGTCGAAGATGAAGATCTTGAACTGGCCTCTTACACTCTTGTAAAACTGTATTTTATTTGTGCAATAACAAAAAGTAGGCATTAGCATGAGCTAAACTGCATGTGAATTAGGGAATAATGTTTAACTGCTTTTTATAGGGCAAAATTTGAGCTTATTCGTAGTCTGCACGCAGCGCGCGTCATAGTGGCAAACCATAGCTTTTTTAGAATCAGTCATTTTTAATTTCCTCATTTACTCAAGATTTAAACCAATTTCTTATGTATGATAATGCTGGTATCCTGGATACTTTACTGGTCTACTTATATGACTCAAAAATGAACTTGAGGCATAGTGGAAGTCTATGAAGAGAGGTACTTATGTCGGTCCACCGCCGTGCGGCGGTCCACGGTCTTAACCCTTCGCAAGGCCCCATGCCCTTGGCCCTTGGGCCCCTGTTGCAAGTTGCAATGGTCCAAACTCAACGGTTCAACTCCCATGGTCTCATCACAACTCCCTTCAGAAATACGTAAAGTTTCGAAATTGATATAAATATATCAATAAATATTTGAACTGGGAAATTCCTTAGTTACTTACGTTGGTTCCAGAATGATAATGACGTAAAAAATGACAACGACAATTATGACATCGGTTAAGAAGCTTCAGCCATGATCTCAGCTCTGCTCAGTCCTTTTACCTCGTAATTATGTTAGAACTGCGATGTTCAAATGTTGATAATACTGGCAAGTGTCAATATCACAATCAAAATTATTTCACCATCAGAAATATGTTATAATATCACAATCGAAAATATTATTCACAAATAACCATCGAATTAAGCTAACATTTTGGCGGGACTTTCAAAATTAAATACCTTACGCGCGCCGATGCGGAAAGTGGCTGTCTGCCATTTTGCCAGCATTGTTTACATTCGAGCGTACTTTGTGCACATACCTACTATGGATTGGCACCATGACTTGAGGGAGAGTCTAGAAAACTCTCTGCTTTGCCACTATGGCGCGAGTGCTGTCGTGCAATCACCACCGTTACCGTACCACGGACGACGAATACCTAAGCGCCAAGAGTTCGCGGTTCAATAATGGCTTTTCACGGCTTGGGAAATAGACTTACGGCTCAAAAATTTGTTAGTTTGAGGCTCAAAAAAAATCCAGTTGCGGCTCACAGAGTACCTAGATGTTTTCCTCCCCTGCCTAGTAGGTAAGTTAGGATACCTATTAGCAGACAGCCAGACAAACAAACAAGAAGTGAAGTTAAAGAGGAGTTTTGTAATAAACTGGTTTCTAAAAAATTAGCTTTTTTTGCCAAATTGCCACAATGCTGTCGTCGATGCACACAATTTCAATTCTTAAGCCTATGCTAAGGGCTTTGAAAAGCTGAAGCCTGAGGCAGGATGGAATTCTAATTTTGAAGGTTCATATATTATTTCGATCCACCAAGACACTTTTTCTATCCAACATTGTTATTTGAGGCAAAAAATGAACTTCTTAAAGGCATAAAATACATAGGCTAACTTGCTCAGTTTCTATAAAGTACCTAACCACTTGGAAGTTTTATGCCTGCACCTGTCTCTTATACACATCTAGATGTGTATAAGAGACAGGTTTATATGATTTCACTGCAGTGGAAGGTGAGGTGGTGTAACGCGGTGGTAGGGTTGATTTTTCGATACGTTTTCATATATTAACATGAGAATTTATTAACTATACAGAATTCCACACTGGCCTGAGGCCATAGTGCCAAAGCAGAAAGTTTTTTTAGACTCTCCCTCAAGTTCATTTTTGAGTCCTATATGTAGACCAGTAAAGTGTCCTGGATACCTGTATTATCATATATAAGAAATTGATTTTAATTGTGAGGAAATTAGAAATGAACTTATTCTAAAAAAATCCCTGGTTTGTCACTATGCCTGAGGCCATTCAACTGAGCCATCAGCCAATTCACAACGCAATTAAAGAAAGGCCTAAAGATAAACCCTCAACTAATAATGCAGGATAATATACAATAATATCTTGCATATAAAAACGATCATTCACCGTTTTTTAAATTTAGAATTCATCATCCAATCCTGATCGAGCAATCACCGACGACCGAACAAGATGGCTACCTTGCAGTAGTAGCTGCTACGATTACTAAGTTAACACAGTAACCTGAGTAACAAACTAACAATTCTATTTAGCATAAACAGATGAAACATTGCCAATTAATTCATCAGATATCTTAAAATTATATAATACCAGATCAAATGATGAATTATCGCGCTGAAATACTTATTATATGGGAAGCGCATAGAGATGACGTCTTAACTCACTAACGACAAACACAATATGGCGTTCAGCTTCAGTCGGTCGACTTTCTCCAAAGGCGCGCCTGGCTGCTGGTTCTTTGAGAATTTTTCAATCACAACCCGCATAATGAAATAAAAAATTTCATGCGTTCATAGGAATGAAATGATGCATAAGTTCAAGAGTTACACATTAATTTTGCGTTGTTTTCCACGGTGTTTCAACCTCTATTGGTCATTATGAATTGCATCCAAATTCACTTCTCCGACTACCTGGAGAACTAATAGGTAAACGTCCTGCGAATTTAGGTACTTTCGCATTTATTAGTCAAAGAATTATATTTATACTATTGTTTAAGTGAGTTTTTTTACTCGCTCTGCAGTTTTTCGGCAATATCTTGACATAAATTACAAATGCGCTCCGCCTGTGTGCATGCAAACGAACCCGTTTATCTGTCGAAGGCGTCGGAACGACTGATTCAATTGTTTCTCAGCTTATTATATAAAATTTTTATTTTATTCTGGAAATTATGACAATCTTGAGAAATAATACTGCTTCTCTTCCTAATTTAGGTTTTATTATGCAACAATAACTTCGAAAATTGAAAGTAAATACCATATTCGTTCATGTTATTCGTAATATCAGAGTTTGGCAACATATATAACATATTTCTTACATTTATAAGTAAAATTTAGAAATATTAATTTAGAGTGGGATAAATAATTCGACATCCAAGCTTTTATTATTTATTTTTTATTCGAGATATTCATGTGAAAATACAATTTTAATTTCCCTAGGAGCATTAACTAATGATTCACGTTATCACATATTAATAATTTGGAGATCGCATTTCACTTTGCTCAACCTAAATGACGTTGAATGTCAAATTGGGTAATGCTCATCGAATGGATTGCAAGCCGTGTAACCATGACTATAGAGCTAAAAAATATGCGTTTAAATTACTTTTTAGAGACAGCACTTCTAAAGAGATCAGTGTCTCCCCATGGATGTATCCGATGTAACACATATACAATGGTTTTTTTATTCATATATATTATACAATGAGTTTTATTTTATTCATATATAAATAAATTTAACGTTTTTAATATTAAAAAAATACTTGTATTTTTTTATTACTGAGCAGGGTGGCCCAGTGGTTAAAGTTCAGAGTACCAGGATTGGCGCAGAGAGGGGCGGGTTCGATCCCAGCTCTGTTCGCCAGTTTCTGGTCAGAATCGGCAAGGAGGCCGGGCGGTTAAGCACAGCAGAATTGTAGCAGTGAGTTGCGAGTTCGAGACCTCAAAATGCTGTGAATGTTCTGCGATGTTAAGAATCGGCGACAGGCCTACGGTCTAATAAACGCTGAAACCGCTATTATTATTATTATTTATTCTGTCAATTAATTCAAGCATTGTCTCCGACTTTACGCAAGTGTGCAAAATTTCAGATCGATTGGACAGGTAAAAGTGTATTAAATATCGATTATAAGATATGTGGCAGACAAACAAAGAAACAACAAGAAGTGAAGTTAAAGAAAAGACTTGTAATAAATAATAAGATAAATTAAGTTTTGTTATGAAAAATCCGATGTGACTTGGGTACTTTATTATCGTGGATCTCTGCATTACGCTTAATATCTCTTCCGTCTCTATTATTCATATTTTGGTAATACCAAATGATATGAAATAAATATTTTCTGCTCAAACTGTAAAGATTTGAAAACTTATATCTGACCACCCTGAATAATCGATGCAAGTGTATGCTTTTCATGATATTGAGACTATTAAATGATTTGAATGAATGGTAAAATATGAAAAACATGCCATCGCATTCAATTTTTATCACCGTATGTAGATGAATTACAAGTTTATTAAAGAATTATTACATTTTATGTCGTAAGATTTATGTCATCAGCTGCACTTTCGTGCCCTAACCCTGAGTGCAATAACACAAGATGTCTGATAAAACGTACTGGAGCCGTGGAGCGTTCGATCCAAATGAGTCGATCATGTATAAAATAATCGAATTTTAAATCAATTATTAGACTTTTTGTGCAAATTATATGAACAGACAAGCCAAACTGTTACTAGACTTTGCCGAAACAATTCAAACAACATAAAAACGTGCAACATTAGTGAGCAAATTTGAAGACATTTCCATATAAAGAATACTATTGAACATGATTATATTGAGACAATGTCCGTGCGAAGAAACAGTTGTCCAGGGTGATCAATATTTGTCGTTATAAGTTATTCCAAATTTATTATTTTGATAATTTTGCCTAACTAAATGCAATTTAGAAGCTTTATAATAGATTTTTTTCATCTTGAGTATTTTGGATTAACAATGCCAAAAATTACTAATAAACCTTTTAAAAAGCGTCTATAGCTTACCATTAATTATAATGGTTCACATATTAAGCAAATTTTCTATTCTTTAATGATTTGTAGTCAAAAGTTTTGGGTCACGAATACAATTCTTAAAATTGTGACAATATTGCAAATTCATTTCCATCAAATCGCAGGGTATTGACAAATCTTTGTATTAGATCTATAAAATGCAAACAGGGTTAAAAATTAAGCAATATTCTTTTGAGGAATTGATGTTCGTTACTGAAATTATACTATATAAGTTATTTATTCGATATCGTTCTGATTGCACAAGACTGATTTATGAAGCTCCTACGATCTTCAACTTTTTTTCATGATAACAGTTTTATTTATGCGCATAAGCCCGCCCTATCAATAAAACATCTAGCACGAAGTATGGAGTAAATATCTACTGCATCTAGAGAGGGTATTCATATGTCCAAATACTATTAAAAAAATTGTGAAGCACACAAACTATTCTGAGAAAGAAAGAGCTTCGACAGCCGCTCTCTTTGTCGACGTGGCATGTGAGATCCTGTGAACATCTGTGGTGAATTTATCGAACTTATTGCATTATGGATGCCGTCAACTTCCAGGTATAGTTATTTGATTTATTAATATTATTTGTAAAAGCTGAAATTTTACTTGGATTTTGACATATTAGTCAAAGCGATTTTTGTCCTGTCATAGCGTTTATACAATTTAAATTTGAAAAAAATGCGGTGAATCAAAAGAACGTAAATCTTGTAAAGTATAACAAATAATTCATGTTTTAAATTATCAAAAATTATGTTCATTAAAACCTTCTCATATTCGACAGCCGATAATAACAATAAATTCAGGACAAGCTTCTTAATCAGGTTATGGCAAGGAGCCATCGTGCGCAGCGAGTTTAATGGAGGATGAGAATGCGACCCATATTGAAACCATTATTTGATGGTTACTTGAATATCAGAAATTATAGTACAATATTATAATATAGTTATATTGTATATAATATTATATATGACATAATTATAGGTAAAAATATAATTCATCAAGCGCTAGAATCAGAAATTATCAGAAATCAGAATCAAGCGCTAAATTTCGTTTTTAATAAATATTCCAATACTAGAAAAAATTGTGGTACAACTGATTATCGTTTTTATGACTTAAATTATATTATTGTGCAAAATCTGCAGAAAAGTTTGAGAGATGTTATCAAGATATGTTAAAATTAGTGTTTAAATTAATTATTCACGATAATATACTGTTATTAAGATCTGCTAAAATTGTTAATAGTAAATACTCGTATTACTTTGATTAGTGTAATATATTATTTCAGAAATTAAAATTATCAGATATACATAGAAAGAGTACCATATCAACTTTAGGGTCTTAAAATCGGTAAATGATATAAAAAAAATATATTAATTTGGAAGGAAGAGACTAGAAATTTCTGGAACTCTAAACGAGCCTGCGGGGAACAACAATCATCATGCGTAGCTAGCTATTGTATTAGGCGGAAAAATTGGTGGAATAATTCGATTGGCAGCAGACGATATGCAAACGCTGTTAGATAGTTTTTTTAGAACTCGACCAATATTTGACAATCACAATATTGTTCAACCACAGGCAATGTTCACATGAGGTGACCTATTTGGAAAGAACTCAAAATGAAACCAATGAGCTGATTGGGTAGGCCTGTGTAAATTGTACTGAAATCACACATTAAACGTTATATATGCAGAATTGAATTAAATCTAAAGTCATTATTATGTGTCATGTGCTAATGATAGCGCACGATACGGACCGATACGATACGGCCGGAGTTAAACCTTTACAATGTACATAGTCTTTGAAGATGACGTGTCTTGACGTAACGTCAGTACTCAATCATTATTGCGCAAAAGGTAAAATTGAGCATTTGTATCAAGTTGAACAAATCCGTTAAAAAGACAATTAGATACAATCATGTTTTTTATTAATTAAGCTCCTCAGCCAAATGTACCGAAACACATGGTAAAATGTCTTCAGTGACGCAATATCCTGAAAAGATGGCGCTGACAGGAAGATTACGTAGCTTAAATTCCACAAATTGCGTTATTCAAATAATAATTTAGCTTAGAAAAAACGATAGCAATAATTAAAATTTAAATGAATTATTAGAAACTGTCAAGTCTAATATAAAGTTTATTTTCTGCTATAAATTTGATCACGAATTTAGTTCCAAAGTACGCCACAAGATCACGCGCTGAAACTGTTGCATAATTATCTTAGTTGTTGTCATTGTGTTGCTACACTACAGCGCACGATAGATTCTGTACAAATGTAGTTCCGTATTCAGTCCACTACAGAGCGTCAAGACGCACGATCGTAATACATAGTGAGAGATATTTCAAACATAGAAGAATTGTGAGTAATTTTCAACAAGATGACGGAAGGATTTAGCGCCGAAAGATTTGCCCGAGGTTTTACTGATAACATGTAAGTGTAAAGTTAAGTATGATATTGATGAATTCATTCCTTGTAAATGGTAAATTTTCCTACATTTTTTCACGAAAACTTGACACAGATTCTAGTAGCTAACTGAGCGCGCATGTTCTATAAATGAGTCCTCCCATCCCCACTAGCACTAGTGTACTCCACGAGATAGGCTAGGTAGTCGTAAAGTTTA